TACGGGTGAGGCATCAGTTATCAGGATAATTGTCTACGGGTGAGGCATCAGTTATCAGGATAATTGTCTATGGGTGAGATGAGGCAACAGTTATCAGGATAATTGTCTATGGGTGAGACAACTGTTATCAGGATAATTGTCTATGGGTGAGATGAGGCAACAGTTATCAGGACAATTGTCTATGAGTGAGACAACTGTTATCAGGATAATTGTCTATGGGTGAAATGAGGCTACATTTATCAGGACAATTGTCTATGAGTGAGGCAACTGTTATCAGGATAATTGTCTATGGGTGAAATGAGGCTACAGTTATCAGGACAATATTGTCTATGAGTGAGGCAACTGTTATCAGGATAATTGTCTATGGGTGAGATGAGGCTACATTTATCAGGACAATTGTCTATGAGTGAGGCAACAGTTACCAGGAAATTTGTTTATGGGTTAGGCAACAGTTATCAGGATAATTGTCTATGGGTGAGGCATCAGTTATCAGGATAATTGTCTATGGGTGAGGCATCAGTTATCAGGATAATTGTCTATGGGTGAGGTGAGGCAACAGTTATCAGGATAATTGTCTATGGGTGAGATGAGGCTACAGTTATCAGGACAATTGTCTATGAGTGAGACAACTGTTATCAGGATAATTGTCTATGGGTGAGATGAGGCTACAGTTATCAGGACAATTGTCTATGAGTGAGACAACTGTTATCAAGATAATTGTCTATGGGTGAGGCAACAGTTATCAGGATAATTGTCTATGGGTGAGACAACAGTTATCAGGATAATTGTCTATGAGTGATGCAACAGTTATCAGGATAATTGTCTATGGGTGAGGTGAGGCAACAGTTATCAGGATAATTGTCTATGGGTGAGGTGAGGCAACAGTTATCAGGATAATTGTCTATGGGTGAGGCAACAGTTATCAGGATAATTGTCTATGGGTGAGGCAACTTTTATCAGGATAATTGTCTATGGGTGAGGTGAGGCAACAGTTATCAGGATAATTGTCTATGGGTAAGGTGAGGCAACAGTTATCAGGATAATTGTCTATGGGTGAGGCAACTGTTATCAGGATAATTGTCTATGGGTGAGGTGAGGCAACAGTTATCAGGAAAATCTTCTGTGGTTGAGGCAACAGTTATTTGGAAACTCTTCTATATACGAGGAAATACATATTAGAACTGTGTGAGGAATAATATTTATCATTTCTGATGTGTGAAAAGGCAGTAGTGTTCTAATCAATTTTTGGAAAAGAGTTCTTTTAAGGTATCAGATATTGGGAAAGTCTTCTCACTGTGAGGCACCATGCTCTTAAGGTCTAGCTTCACTTACAGGGAAGGCATCTTATATAAAATAACAGTGTGATCTGTTATAATGGAAGTCTTCTCAGGATGAGGCATTCATTGTAGAATAAGACTTCTAATGGAGGAAACAAATCAAAAATTTTCTAAAAGTGAGGCACCTGTCAAGTAATAGCCAACGAGTTTTCTTACTGTAAGATGCCAATTAGAAAAAAACAGAAACTACTTGTTAGGCCGTATTGAAGACATTTGTAATGAGGCTTTCATAAAAAATGTACTTTTAGTGATTGCAAATTAAGAAATGTTGATTATATTTGATTTATTTTGCTATTTAAGAATATACATAGATTATTTTTGTATTTAGTATACATGTACAACTGATGCTGTTACTGTTAATGCTACCTTATACAAGGTTTTACATGGGTTTTAGTTTTGCATTGATTGATGTTCTTATAACATTTAAGATTAGTCTTTATTAGAGGTCTGAAAGAAAAGAGATGAACCCTGTCAACAATGCAGAAAGATTTTGGAATTACATGTGGTTAATATTCTATAAAATTTGATTTTCAAGAAACATATTTGAGGTAAATGTCTTTAAGACCCTTCTGATCTTGATTTTTTTCTTATTTCAACCCATCTAATCTATTTAGTTATAATGCCTGTGTATGTCTTGTTTTTCAATTTATAGGTTTCTGTACCTATTTACATTAATCTTACTCTCCTGATTCTGATGAAATCCCTTTCACTGTTTATTAAGTGTTGAATATGGTATTTGTTTTCAATATTTTTTACTACATGGTGTTGTTCACTATTTATTAAAAAGCTTGTTATTTTAAAACGACTATATTTTCACTATTTACTTTCAAAACAATTGAATTGCATTTCAACAAATAAAACATTTAGTGATCTTGATTTAAAAATTTAAAATAACTATATATGGTAGGTTCTCTATGAAATGAAGATGACCATGTGACCTTATTCTTCATAGATTCTGTACGCAGGCATATATTATAGTATCTTTCTTAATGTTGTGACACTTGTTACGAGATCAAGTTGGGGTGTAAACAAAGCTTTATATAGCATCAATCATAATTTGTGTTAGATGTATATATATATTAGATGTATATATATATGTGTAGTTCTGCCACAAAGACAGAACTCATTCCAAATGCAGGTGGGATATTTCTGAGTTATGCCCCTTTAATGAAAAATTCATTCTTCAAGTACATATAGCAATATTTATTTATGACAGCATAGTTTTGTCTAATTAATTGAAATTGTTTATTATATATTAGATAATTCCCCGGGTGAAAGAATCATTGTCTGACAACATCTCACAAAGTTATTATTTTGATCGTGATTTAATCAAGTCCAATGATGTCCTTAAAGACATCTTCTTGACTGGTATTAATAAAACATTGGTACACATGGTCAGTAACTTTAGAGGGTATGAGTTGGTGATTTAGTGATTTAGTTCTGATTTCAGCTATTTCCCACACTCTTGTCTAGTTTGCAGTGAAAAGTTACCAAAGTGAGGGTATGATATTACTACTCTATTGGTGACAATGGCCACAGAGGCAGCGTCAACATTTCACTTTAAAGTTTAGCATTAAAACTGGTTGCTCATGAACTAAGCCAGCTAAAACCAAAGTTGGTAAATAGCTAAACCTCCACACATCCATCATTTACAAAATACCTGCCAGGTTTTACAGTCATCAGGATGCTTAGAAGCTAAATCATACAGATTTGTGTTTAGTTCTGTTTTCTCATAAGGTACAAGTGCTTTTCCAATCAAATCTGTGATACAGTCACAAAACATCTGGATTCACAAAATAGATTAGATGAATTTTTGGGGGACAAAAACTTAAGATTTTGAGAGATGTCTGCACATTCTTTATGGCTTGTTCTTTTTACTTCAGATTTAGTTTTTAGTTATTTCACAACAAGTACTTTGAAAATTAGACAAGGTTTCCTCTCCCACCTTAGGAAGAGTGAAATGTTTTGGGTAAAATGTTGTATCTGGGTGAGTTTTGACAAAATGAAGAATTTACAAATAATTCATTTCATGTTTTATAATGAATCATTATTGAAAGACAATGTTAACATTTTGATGGTGCTTACATATAATTAATTGGAATCAGCATTGGATTTTGCTTTTTTCTACTTTTTGTGTGAGGGGAGTAAGGTTAGTGGGTTTGGTGGGCATTAAGTTTTGTATTGTTTGCATTTTGCTTAAATATTACCACACTAAATGGGCAGGTGTAACGCACAATTACAATTGTTCACATAATTCTTGTCTGAATAGAAATTTATAAATTTAATCAAAAAGTATAGATACTTTACTTCTTCACCTATATTTATGCAACTATATAAACATTAGTGATAGGTTATTGGTTAAAATCCATAATTGATTATTGGTTAAGGTTGGATAGGCTTCTTGATATAAATTACATTATCAGTGTTATTCAGTACTCATAGAAAGAGAATGCTTCTTTGTGATAGTAACTTTAATGTAAAATACTTCATTTACATAGAATTACCATAAGAATGAATATTATTGCCAAATGGCATCTTTATTATGCACAATATTGAATTTATTAATGAAAAAATTAAGGGTCCATAGATCAATAATGTAGTAAACATGTAAACAACAGATTTTTTTTTTGTGGGGTGCCAGGGGATAGATTAATATGATGTACTTGTATCGTTATCGGTGTTTGTTTGATATATATAATGTTATTAACAATCAAATGGGTTTATGTAGATAAACATTCCCTTCAATAGAATTCCATTATTACATTTTGTAGTGGTATACAATTTTATAAATTGTTTTTTTCATTCATTCCTTTTTTTTTACATTAACTTTCAACATATGGTGTTTGTGCATAATATATTGTTAGATATAAGTGTATTTTGCTATTTCAATAAGTGGGTCATTGCTTAGTTGATGGGAATACTGTAACTTTGAAAATATTGAAATATGCATATAATTGGCCGCTCTTTTTTAAAAAATTATCATATTCACAATTATCTTTGCTATAAAGATGCATTGTTGATAGAATTCAACTGTTTTGATTGTTTGACTTTTAACAATTTGTCAAAATTATTATCATATTCACAATTATCTTTACTATAAAGATACATTGTTGATAGAATTCAACTGTTTTGATTGTTTGACTTTTAACAATTTGTCAAAATTATTATCATATTCACAATTATCTTTACTATAAAGATACATTGTTGATAGAATTCAACTGTTTTGATTGTTTGACTTTTAACAATTTGTCAACTTACATTTCTTTTCTGTTATTCTATTTACAATGTCAAAATGATCTGTGATCTTTTATGGTGAAATTTGTGTTTGTTGCAAATTAAAACAAGTACACACGTGTGTTTGAAATGTTTTTATTTTCAATATTGTGTTGTTTTTAGTAAAATATTACCAATAAGAGCATACTGGATAACACAAGCCAGACCAGGTTTCAATAGATCACAATGTCAGTAAGTCATTTTTCTCAAATAGACAAATGTCTAGTCTAGAGTTTTATAAGTTCATTGAATCTTATACAAAAGTAATAGATTATAATAACAATGTAAGATCTGATTTAATAAGCCCGCCATCATCAAATTGTCCAGTGTCATTCTGGGATGTCTTTTTTGGTAATAACAGATATAATATATCAATTGATAACTTCACAGGTTCCTCTACTCCTACGACAGCCAAATTTTCAAGTTTGAAGAGGATGAAGAGAGCAAGACAAGATGACCTTGAGGAAGAATTGTTACAATTGGAAATAAAAAGAGTGAAAATGGAGATAGAACTGCTTGCCATGAAGAAAGAGAAAACTAGAATAAAGATAGAAAATGCCAAAGAACAGCAAGCTATTATTAAAAGCCAGTTTGAGACCATTCAACTGTATGATCTTCATCAAGAGTCTTAAATCTTTTTCTTCATGGCAACCGGTTCTATTTTCATTCAAATTGCCCTTCGTCTGTGGTCTGGTATTTATTGTTTGTCTATGTGCTCCTAAACATTTTTGTCATCTCTGTTTCTTCAGATTTACTTGATGGTTCATATTCAGATATTTTATATGTAGGGTCCTATTGTTGCCTAGTTGTGCCCCTTTGATTTTGAGGCTTATCTGAAAAAAGAAGTGGCTGACAGGCAGTCATCTTGGATTTGACTAATAAAAATTTGTTATCGATTGCTATCTCTTGAGACGTTCATGGTCGATCATTCTCAGATTTGATATAAGTTACCACATTTCTCTGGCTTGCTCTTTTAATTTGATTATTGCCAGTATTACTATTTCTTAAGAGGAATTTTTCAAATTTTACATTATAAAGAGAAAAGAAAGGAAGGGCTCCAACTTTAAAAGATCAAATGAATACCAAACAATGTGGGGCACTAAGATTGCTCTTGAATCTTTGGAATGTACATTTGGTCCCAGGTAATTTTTTTGTAAGAAATTTGAAGCAAAATTGAATAGAATAAAAACAGAAGACACCTGACTGCAGGTCAAGGTCACAAGATCAGACTCGGTGGGTTCAAAAGCAAGGTCACATTTTCTGTCTCTTAACAGCGACATAATTCTCAGTAACTTTTTGAAACAAAAATTGGTGATATGAAATCACTTCATTTAAAGTGAAATGCTTTTCCTTGTGAATACTTTATCATGGTATGAATCAAAACTATCAAAATGAAACAAGTAAGTGTATGATAACTTATCAGTATTAACCTTCCAGCTGGGCTTAATTTAAGAGCTGAACATAATGAGTGTTCGTACTCTAGTTATCCTAGATGTTTCTTCTATACACAACTATAATGACATGTATACACTCATAATACTAAAATACATCTGAAAGTACAAATTCACTGGGAAAATGTTATCCTGATATGGTCTCGCATAGCATTACCATTGCCATCAGTGGTAGTACTGTCTAAGCCATTACTGTCACTTTCCTCATAATTTTCAAGAAGACCTACAATATCATTCCTGGCAATCCCAATATTGTGCAAAACAGCTAATGTTATTGTGGCAGCCTTTATAGGCTCAACTCGTAAGCCAAGTGACAGACAAGCAAACTTCCTTTTCAAGATTCCAAATGTCTGTTCAATTTTTACCCTGGTCTTGCACAAAGCATCATTATATTTTGTGTGTGATGGTGTAGATGGATGGCTGTAAGGGGTCATTAAAAATGTCATGCAAGGGTATCCAGAGTCTCCAAGTAAAATTCCATCGTAATTGCCTGTAATGCAAAACATAATTATGTATCTCTAAATAAACTTGAATTGAGATCCTAACATGTTAATTGAGGTACTATGAACATGTTTAAAAATGGCTGAGTTAAATATTCTGTCATCTTACCTGTTAATTTATGCCAGTACAGAAAAATGTAAAATATCTGATGGGTCTAAACAAGGTTATTACCAGTAGGAAAAAGGGGAATAGAATGACATCACAGTATCAACAGTAAAGATTCTGAATGACCATGCTGGAGCGCAAAATTCTATAATTCAAATCATGTTGTGTAAAGAGCACAGATATGTACTCCAACACTAAGGCCAAGATTAAACTGCCTAGCACTCGCAAACCAAGTTCTTGATAAACTCGGTCTGAAATATGTGGACATCAAGGATGGTTTTTCAGTCAAAATATATAATCTATAAGAATTGTAGAATTGTTTGTGCATTTCTATTTACTTACCATTTTCAAATTTAAAACAGATATTTGACCCTCTGAAGATTCTAGCATCATGAACTGATCCTGGCCAGTTTGCCACAACATTTGTGATCCTGTATTTGGAGTCGCATGCCATCTGAAAAGCATTGGCATTGTTTTGATTAATAATCTGCATTGAAAAAGCATTGAAAACACATATGGGACCCAATCAAATAGAAAAACAGAATCATTCTCTTTCCCTAGTTATGATTTTAGATGGTTGTACTAAGATGAACATTTGGCTTAAAGGCCTTTTATTTTATACGATACTTTCTTATAGCATATTTTCTTTCAAAGAATAGTGTTAATTTGAAATTTGTTATCCACCTGTACCTGAACATTTAGTGAGTGGTAGCCTTTCCTGTTTACAAAATCAGCTTCGTTCTGATGTGGTGCTTGGATCTTTATAAAAGTGCCATCTATACAGCTGAGTACATTAGGGAATCCTGAAATATTTGATAATAATAAATCAATGTATATGTATATAAAGAGAAAATGAAATATTGACAATATTTCTATACAGTGTGCATAAATGATGACATACAAAATGTATAAAGTGTATATTATGATTTATTGTTTACATAAATGTGTAGTTCTTGAATGTACCGTATAGGGTATCATGTGTGCAAAATACATGTATGCCTTGATTTACAAACTCAAAATGGCACTCTGAACTTGTCATGATACAGATATTGTGTACAGTGTTCTTAAATAATGTATCAGTATTTATTTTTATTTATTTCTGGCAAATAAACGTCGGAGTAATAATTATAATCTAAATATATATTATGATGAGTGTATATACATACATTGGGCTGTGGTTGGTTGGTGTTTGTGGTTATGTGGGTGCCTGCAGGATAGGGGTGGGTTCAATAAAGTGCATTTAGCGCCTCGTGTTGAGTTTGTCTGTGTCCGGTTGGCATTCATATCCCATGAATGCCGACCGGGGGCAGTCCAATGCTTATATATATGTGCATATTTCAATACTTATATTTCAGTGCTTATATTTATACCTTTTCAATTTTCATAAGGGAAGACATACTCAGTTTCTGTACAGTACTTGCAATATCATATGCTGTTGGCAGGTCATAAGCTGGTAATACACAACTGATGTTAGTAATGTTAAGTAAGCATTGTCATACAATGGTTATTGTACATGTACCTGTCTGTTTAGGTATTTAAGGTGTATTACAATACAGTTCTATAATTTCTGGTATTGTACTGTATTTAATATATATTGTAAAGTTTGTAACACTTTAATACCCAGTGTAAGGGTGTATTCAAAAGTAAAATTTTAAGTAAATGAGACATTAACCTAATCTTGTTTTTCACAATAAAAACTTCATTGCATAATACATCGGTAAATACTAAAAAAATGTATTGTGCCATTATTCAAAACCTTTCAACATTAATTAGTCTATCATTGTTTTAACTGCCCCATGTGAGCCTTGAACACGTGACCTAGAGGTGGAGGGCTACAGTGATGAATGGCAGTATCCCTCAACCACTCTTCCGTATATATATTGTGAGTGACATTGTAACAATTTTGCTCCTGGAACTGTAGATTTCTCTTTAATTCTAGTCATAATTTCCTAAAAACAAAAGTAAATAATACTAATAAAAAATTATGTTTCAGTTTTTCAGTTGATTTCTGGAGAATTAAACAGTGTATTTTCATCAAATATATCCTGTAAGTTACTCAGAAGTAATGATTTAAAATGAATAATAGAATAAATAGAACAAGGAAATGTATTGTTGTGCGAGTTTTATTATAACTGTTCTTTCATAAAATCTTCAAAGAGATTTGAAAATAAAACTCTAAACCGTTTAGAAGTGTGTTAATGTGATATTACTGTATCAGTCGCTATGGAAAATATTATGCTTACTTCATTCCGCATGATCGTAGCCGGACTTCCGAGTCCTGTTTTACACACTACCGGATGTTGTCGTCACCAAAATTGTGAACAGACGTAAATTGTTTACCTGCGATCCTGAAAAACTCAGATTTTATCCTTATTGCTTCTTGTCCCACTGGCATGTGAATGAATTGTCTGGCCAAACTGGAAATTGCCGAGCAGACGGAGAATACTGTTCTGGATACCTGGCTTTCCGAAATTCCAACAGAGTCCCCAATGAGCCGGAAAAAAGCACCAGTTGACAGAAACCGGAGTGTTAAAAGCACCTGTTCTAAAGGAGATAGTGAATAGTTTCTGTTCGTTGGTCTTGAAATTTTTGCCTTTATAAGATCGACGATATATAAAAACGTATCGTACGAAAAACGATACCTCGAAAATATATCTTCATCGGACAGATCTTCAATGCTTACACGCGGTAGGAATATCCGTTTTCGTCTTCTGCGTCTCAGTCTTGAAATGGTAGCCATTTTAAAGTTAACTTTGAGGTTGCTATGTGGCTCCCTCAAAAAATTGAGGAAAATCTCAAATTTATTTGAGGAAAACTACAGCTTTCGGTTTTATACAAGTGAACTTAAGGAAAATCTCAGGATTTGAGGAAAACTCAGATTGTTTGAGTTGAGGAAGGTTTCAGCAAGCAATTTTGAGGAATCTCAATTTATTTGAGGAAATCCTCAAAGTTAAGGAAATCTCAGTACTTAAGTAGTTTTATACAAGCGGGGCCAGATCCATTAATAGGGCATTAGTTAAGGAGTTGCTAAGATGTATATAATGTATACTGGGAAAATTTTGCCCATTTAATTTTCACACATTTCGTCCATGAGCAGGGAGGGCTAATCTAATATGGGGATGAAAATTAGCTTGTGTCGGCAAACGTAGATGACTAACTTAACCGCTATATATCATGGACATTGGCAGTAGATGTTACAGTTCAGATTAAGGCAACTGACGAAAAACCTAGAAAAGTATGTCATTCTGTTGGTCAAAGCGTCTTGGAAAGACATGATAGATAAAGGAAATTTTCACAAGTTGACATCTGGAAGATGGAAACTTTTAAGGTCTACATAGATCTGTTGATCAGAAATTTATTGAGCACGTGCCTATCATTGTGCATGATTGACATCAAACTGGAGAGAATAAAGCAAAATGGAATAGACACAATATGACCACAACTTTAAGACTAAACAAAGTAAAGATATAATGAGTGTTGTCTTAAATTGAGTATATGCAATCGATACAAGACGGGGTGGTTGGAGGATGAGTTTTCTAAGTGAGCTGCTTTCTAAATTTCCAACTATTGTCAATGCTGGTATTGTAGGGTATGCAAATAGACGACTGGCGTTGAAACAACAACATATTACAGGGTCCCATTACATTATTTCAATTGTAAGCATCCTTTTGCTGTTTATGGAACCAAACATGTGGCCCTCTTCCACACACCTTAATCCATTGTATCTTAGAGTCTGGTCTTGCTGTGACTTCTAGCCCTGTTGTTGGTGGCCAATCAGTATCGGGTTACTCTGACAGTCGTAAATTAACATCTTTACCATGATAATACATCTATTCCACACGAAACATTGAATCAATTTTGAATTTTAGTACTTATTCTCAGTACGGGTAATCTTCACATGTACTTCATACACATCTGTCCGAATTACGGCGGTGCTTCCTAGGTTTTGAGGATACTTTACGATCTGTAGTCAGCTGTCATGACACCCCTGGCCTGTCTTTGCAATAGAGTACCTGCTTGTGTAGTAGTCCTCTCTTATATCAGTTGAGTTTGTGAAGAAAACGGTGCAAGATCACCTACAAAGCCCAGGTCACAAGGCTTCTTCCATAATCACCCAGAATGTTTGCCAATCTGTCATTTCTATAGTTGAAGTAAAACTGTCATGTAAGGATACAAACAGTAGTGACCCTGATCATATCGGAACACAACATGTTTTTCCCGAAACCTATCTGTTGAATTATTTTGTCGGAGCAGTAAAATATGAGATAAAAAAATAGACGCAGAAGACATTTTGGAAGTACTTTTTAAGAGGATACCGTTATTCACGCCTCTGTCAGGCCTCGTTAAGGATACTACATTTCCTATTCTGTTCCCTGTGTGCAAGGTATGAGGGAGAACAGTAATGGCACTGGTGTGCTACATGTACATACATTTACTGGTTGACTTTACTGTTCATTGTGTACCACATATACGTGCCTCAGTTGTTAGAAGTGTATCGTTCCATTTGTGCCACATATACGTATCTCGCCTGTTAGAACTGTAGTCATCTGTTCCATGTGTACTGCACGTACATTTTCATGCATCTAATGCTAGAACTGTTCCATTTGTGTCATCTGTATGAATTAGGTTGTTTGAACTGTTCCATGTGTGTCATCTGTTTGAATTACGTTGTTTGAACTGTTCCATGTGTGTCATCTGTACGAATCTCGGCTGTTAGAACTGTTCCATGTGTGTCATCTGTACGAATTAGGTTGTTTGAACTGTTCCATGTGTGTCATCTGTACGAATTAGGTTGTTTGAACTGTTCCATGTGTGTCATCTGTACGAATCTCGGCTGTTTGAACTGTTCCATGTGTGTCATCTGTACGAATTAGGTTGTTTGAACTGTTCCATGTGTGTCATCTGTATGAATTATGTTGTTTGAACTATTCCATGTGTGTCATCTGTATGCATTCTGGCTGTTAGAACTGTTCCATGTGTGTCATCTGTACGAATCTCGGCTGTTAGAACTGTTCCATGTGTGTCATCTGTACGAATTAGGTTGTTAGAACTGTTCCATGTGTGCCATCTGTACGAATTAGGTTGTTAGAACTGTTCCATGTGTGTCATCTGTACGAATTAGGCTGTATGAATTAGGTTGTTTGAACTGTTCCATGTGTTCCATGTGTGTCTATTCCATGTATGCGACGAATCTCGGCTGTTTGAACTGTTCCATGTGTGTCATCTGTACGAATCTCGGCTGTTAGAACTGTTCCATGTGTGTCATCTGTACGAATCTCGGCTGTTTGAACTATTCCATGTGTGTCATCTGTACGAATTATGTTGTTTGAACTGTTCCATGTATGTCATCTGTACGAATCTCGGTTGTTTGAACTGTTCCATGTGTGCCATCTGTACGAATTAGGTTGTTTGAACTGTTCCATGTGTGTCATCTGTACGAATTATGTTGTTAGAACTGTTCCATGTGTGTCATCTGTACGAATCTCGGCTGTTTGAACTATTCCATGTATGCCATTTGTAGGAATCTCGACTGTTAGAACTGTTCCATGTGTGTCATCTGTACGAATTAGGTTGTTAGAACTATTCCATGTGTGTCATCTGTACGAATTATGTTGTTTGAACTGTTCCATGTATGCCATCTGTACGAATCTCGGCTGTTAGAACTGTTCCATGTGTGTCATCTGTACGAATTCGGCTGTTTGAACTATTCCATGTGTGTCATCTGTACGAATCTCGGCTGTTTGAACTGTTCCATGTGTGTCATCTGTACGAATTAGGTTGTTTGAACTGTTCCATGTGTGTCATCTGTACGAATTAGGTTGTTTGAACTGTTCCATGTGAGCCATTTGTACCAATCTCGGCTGTTAGAACTGTTCCATGTGTGTCATCTGTACGAATCTCGGCTGTTAGAACTGTTCCATGTGTGTCATCTGTACGAATTAGGTTGTTTGAACTGTTCCATGTGTGTTATCTGTACGAATTAGGTTATTTGAACTGTTCCATGTGTGTCATCTGTATGCATTCTGGCTGTTAGAACTGTTCCATGTGTGTCATCTGTACGAATTCGGCTGTTAGAACTGTTCCATGTGTGTCATCTGTACGAATTAGGTTGTTAGAACTGTTCCATGTTTGTCATCTGTACGAATCTCGGCTGTTAGAACTGTTCCATGTGTGTCATCTGTACGAATTATGTTGTTTGAACTGTTCCATGTGAGCCATTTGTACCAATCTCGGCTGTTAGAACTGTTCCATGTGTGTCATCTGTACGAATTAGGTTGTTAGAACTATTCCATGTGTGTTATCTTTACGAATCTCGACTGTTAGAACTATTCCATGTGTGTTATCTTTACGAATCTCGGCTGTTAGAACTATTCCATGTGTATCATTTGTACGCATTCCGGCTGTTAGAGGATTGTACAAAAGACACACAAGTGACTAGCACATTTAATACAATTTGAAGTAAGACACAGTAGAGTCAAACCTTGAACTAAACTGCATCAAACAACTGTCCTTGTTAAACTCTAAGGACCAAATTTTTAAGCCTAGAAGGCGCATTAGTACCATTTAATACGAATGAAAAGTCCAAGTGTTCCTCAAGTAACACACTTTTCCGTGTGTGTTACATATACAGCTGGGCTGTGGTGAACAGGTCTATACAACATTTATGTACACAACTATCAATCACCCAGTATGTTAGTATAACACTGTTTACCTCAGGGGTATTATCAACTTTTAGATGGAGACGTGACCGACCCTCCTGTAGACAAAGTATCAGGTAAGTGGTGACTGATATCCAAATAAAGCTCCGTGTGTGACACAAGAGAGCATGAATCAGTTGGAAGCCATGTGATTAAATAAAATCAAATTGAAGGTTCAGTTGTATGACACTGTATACAACATATAGAGTTGTATCTTACATTTAAGGCTTGTTGGTTGTAGATATGTAAACGTTACATGACATACGAGATTGTATCAGATCACATGACGTCAGTTTTTGTAACAAACGATTAATATCAATTAAATGCACAAAATGACACTTATGGTGATTTAAAATTATCTATGACACGTCATGCCGTGTAAAACTTGTATATTACATGAATAATATATTTCATTTAAAAAATAATACATGACATTTAAATTTGTATTGTGTCGAATGTCACTTATCTATGACAAGTGAAGTTATATCATACCTTACATAACATTGTAAGCGACATAAACCTAGACATGGCATATGGAGTTATACAAAGCGATACCATGTTATCTAATTGTCATTACACACAGAGGCCTGATTCCTCATTTAATGCAAACAGTGTACAATGTCACAAAACACTCAAGTACCACTTACATTTATTTTCAACTGGTACGCTACAGTGAAATAAGTTATGGATGGTTCATGTGAGAGAATTACTGTTAAATTTTCAATGGGTATTCTACAGTGAAATAGGTTATGGGTGGTGGTTAATGTGAGAGAAATTTTATTAAATTTTCAATGGGTACGCTACAGTGAAATAGGTTATTGATGGTTCATGCGAGAGAAATGCTAATTTAAAAAAGATACATTTTGTATTACAGCGGCGACGATTCTGTTATTATGTCTATATAATTAACCGTATAGTCAAATTACATGGATCCTATGTAACGTTTTATTTTTATTGTAAAAATACACTATTATTCACATAAACTGAATCCGTTGCCTTAATATGAAACCACACTTATCGTACGGACAGAATCAGACACCCTGAATTTGTGACGAATAATCCCCTTACGAAAAGTTCAAACGTTTGTTCAAGTAATTCAATATTGAGATTGAAGGCGGTTCTCTTGACTCGCTTAACCGTGCAGGTAAACCGGTTTGTATATCTTAAGTTATGAGGAACTGTAAATCAATATGGCCGCGATATGATCAACACCTATAAGACGTGAAGAGGATACAGTTAATAGTACTGAACAGAGATAGGTATGTCCATTCCTAGATAGAGATTCTTTTCATGCATTCTCATTTCAATATCAATATGATAAATTATTGATGAATTTAATTTAGTTTTACGCACTGATAAAAGTTGTTTATAAAACAAAATCTGAATATAACGAACTATCTAACGATCCTGTCTTCTCTCATCTGTGGGCGATTTATTTAGGGACTAAATGTTTTAACATGTATTCGATGAAAGTTGGCATTTCTTAAAGATAAAGAAAACACTATGTGCGTTTGTGATTTGTGCCTACCCTACTTGTGCATGTCGATGTATTATTATATTTACACTGTTCTTTAATAACGGGTTCAATGAATATATAAATCGCCTTGTTCAAACGAGCGACAGAATATATCACTCATTTCTAGAGGGGTAAGCGGCGGAGCCTAAATATTTAGGTGCTTTAAATGACTATTTCACATTCCACAAATTAAAAGGTGTTGGATCTGTCAGCAAATTGACATGAAACAACCGGTCCACTGGAAATACAATGTGTACCTGTCATTAACCTTTCTTAAATGAAAATGACAAGTTGACCTACGCCCTGTATTAAACTAATACTGAAGGTATCGTTCTGATGGGCCCAATGGTCCAAAGTTTTAAGAAATCTTGAAAAATCACTAAGTCAGTATGCGGGACGAGATCTGTGGGAAGGAGTCATTTCAGTGATTGGAGAACAGTGAAACTTGGTCAATAAACGAACCTTTTTATAAAAACACATAATAGTTTTTTGACTGTGCACGTAAAAGATATAATTTTCAACTACCGCTTCGTGTTTGTCAGATTATATTTTCGTTGTCATAATTTCGTCGACATTTCAAGAATCTGACGCAAAACAATATCAAATTCTTTTGTACTGTTTCTATATTTTAGGAATCATAATGAGGGCCACGCACTTCTACGTCTCGACACGACTGACTGTTGTCATGGAAATAGTTCTGTGTGTATCAAGCCAGTCTACCACTGTCATCAACACTCCTTCCGGTTCCATAATGGGGTTGGTTAATACCGTTCTCGGTCAAGACATTGCGCAATTCCGCAACATTCCGTACGCCAAACCTCCAACCGGGAAGTTGAGGTTTAAGAAGCCGGTTCCCATAGAGCCGTGGCAAGGCGTTCTCAATGGTACGGCATTCGGACCGTCATGTGTGCAAGAAAAGTCGTTAGGAGGTGCATTTTTGTGGGAGGGGTTGGAAAACAAGATGATGTCAGAAGATTGTTTGCAGCTGAACATCTATACGACCTATCCAATCTCTTCAGCAGATAAGAAGCCTGTCATGTTTATGATTCACGGAGGCTCTTACATAAGAGGACAAGGGACTGCATATGACTCCTCCTACTTCGCAATGAAAGACGTCATTGGGGTAAACATCAATTACCGTTTGGGTGTCTTCGGCTTCCTGAGCACGGGGGACCGTATCCTACCTGGTAACTACGGAATATGGGATATGATTGAGGCTTTGAAGTGGGTACAGGCAAACATCGCGGCTTTTGGCGGGGATCCTGACAACGTCACTATATTTGGAGGGTCCGCAGGTGCAATATCTGTCTCTTTACTGGCAAGTGTCCCAAGTAATCGGGGTTTATTCCACAGAGTTATTGCTCAAAGTGGATCTGCAACAAGCCTCATATCGATATCGCTGGATCCCATCCGAATTGCGAGACAGATCATGTCAGATGTTGGATGTATACCGACCTTAAATTCCACCATAAACAGTAATGTTGTGACAGACTGCCTTCAACATATTTCGGCTGATCTGTTGTTGCAGGCCTCCCTCTACTCAACTATGAATGTTCAATACTACGGCTACTTCTCAATAGGTTCGCAACTCTATCCAGTCGTGGACGGGCAGCTCTTCCGCTTGAAACCCATGGACAGTTTAAGCGACCCCAACTCCGCTGAATCTGCCTTTTTCACATCGATTGACTTGATAGCAGGTAACACGGACAATGAAGGGTCAGTTGGAACATTCACATTTTACTCGTACGAAGAGAGCATGCAGTTTAACACGAGTGACGGGTATCCATCAGCATTACTCTGTGATGTGATGGCTCCAGCTGTAGCTAGAGACGTGTTCCAGGCAGGCTCCGACATATCGGACATGGTCTGTCAGAGATACAGTACCAATGATATAGCTCAGCGGAGCAGGAACATTCTCAATCTATATGGAGACTCCTGCTTTGTGGCCCCGACAGTCCAAATTCTCAATTTCCACAGTCAAGGACAAGGATTAGGCAAAACATATCAATATGTTTTTTCTCAAGTGACAGATTCACCAACCCTGTTTGGTAAACCTTATTGGATGTTGGGCGCTGGCCACGCAGAGGAAACCGGGTACCAGTTCGGTCCCTCAAACCAAAAGCCTGCCTGTAGAGCAACGGCCCAGGCCAGGGCCTTAACAGACACATTCAACTCGTACTTCGTCAACTTTGCTAAAACAGGGTAGGTAATATGAGATTGAATAGAACAGATATAGTAATCAAAGCGTAAAACTTGGTAGACCATCGGAAAATAAGACGAGGTAGATATTTAAAAAACCTATAACAGACTAGATCATTGGGGGAAAGCTCATAGGTACATAGAGGCTAAGATCATTGGAAGCTCAGAAGAGGTAGATCATTTTAAAATCAGAGTATATAATTAAAAACTCAGTTGGCCTGGAGCATTGGAAACTCAGTCGCAGTAGATCTTTGGATATTCTGTAATTCTTGCTTGAAAACTTAGACGGGATATGTTACTATATCAAAAAGATGTGAATGGTGATCAAACAACTAGATCATGACAAATTATAATGACTATACCACGAGGGAAGGTCAAATAGTACAGAAAACGGGATATATATTACAGCAACAAAAGACTCATTTCACTTCTCTTTTCAATATGATCCCTAGATACCTTGATAGATCCGATCCGATAATCAATTTCATGGGTAGGAAGGACTGTTCCCGTTTCTTTTGTACGCCACCTTTAATTAATTAGCCTCTTTCTGTTTCTGTATATTTTGTAACCTCGGAAGTCTGCTCACCTGTGTGCACCTGCTGTAATTTTATTTAAGCATATTTATATTGCATAAGAATATATACACGATTTTCAATATAATTTGTTGTATGATAACTACATTTCGTATTTCTCAATGTTCCGTTTTTGTTTAGGAACCCAAATGAAGCCGACTTGGTGTTTTGGCCTGAATACAGTTATAACGACCGTAAATATATAGACATCAAGTATGAAACGACACAAGGAGAAAACCTGTTCCAGGACCGGATGAAATTCCTACTGGAGGAGATTCCCAACAAAATAAAAAGTGCTTCTGACGAAACTAACTCTGCTCCACATCCATTCATTTCTGTACACTATTGGGTGTGGATCGTTTTAATCACTTTATCATTATAGGGAACTGGCTCAACATTCTGTAGCTTGTCTTCACATCCGCTGTATGCGAACGATGAACTTGAAAGTATGTATTTTACCACATCATACAAGAAATTCAGTACAGGTGTACTCCGTTGGAAATTTTAACCAAGTGATATTACAATGAGATATTATTTTCAGGTGTACTACATTGAGAGTTTCTATACAGGTGTACTACACTGAGAGGTCTATACAGGTGTACTACATTGAGAGTTTCTATACAGGTGTACTACACTGAGAGGTCTATACAGGTGTACTACACTGAGAGTTTCTATACAGGTGTACTACACAGAGTTTCTATACAGGTGTACTACACGGAGAGTTTCTATACAGGTGTACTACACTGAGAGTTTCTATACAGGTGTACTACACTGAGAGTTTCTATACAGGTGTACTACAGTGAGAGAGTTTCTATACAGGTGTACTACACTGAGAGTTTCTATACAGGTGTACTACACTGAGAGTTTCTATACAGGTGTACTACACTTGAGAGTTTCTATACAGGTGTACTACACTGAGAGTTTCTATACAGGTGTACTACACTGAGAGGTCTATACAGGTGTACTACACTGAGAGTTTCTATACAGGTGTACTACACTGAGAGTTTCTATACAGGTGTACTACACTGAGAGTTTCTATACAGGTGTACTACACTGAGAGGTCTATACAGGTGTACTACACTGAGAGGTCTATACAGGTGTACTACACTGAGAGGTCTATACAGGTGTACTACACTGAGAGTTTCTGTACAGGTGTACTACACTGAGTGTTTCTATACAGGTGTACTACACTGAGAGTTTCTATACAGGTGAACTACACTGAGAGGTCTATACAGGTGTACTACACTGAGAGGTCTATACAGGTGTATTTCAATGTATGTATACAACTGTATTACATCAGAATTACCATTGCTGTAATGCAGTGATACCATGAGTTTCTACACATGTGATTGTCATTTGTGTAATAAATGAAAACAAACCCAAAATTTAATCAAGAACATAATATCACTTTTATAAAAATAATTTTATTGATATCTTTAATATATCCTTATTACTACTAATCATTTGATGCACTGGACTGTAATTAATTAATAGTTATCAATTAGTGTTGTCGTAGATCACTAATTTATGATGATACCAAATGTCTTGACAGCAGGATTGTTGAGTGATGCCAATAGTACAAAAGAGATAGGTACAGTACATCAAATCCATGTGTAATTGTAATAAAATAACATAACAACATTAAAAGACATTTTTATCTGAACAATTCTGTTCTGGGGAAACAAATTCCAGAACTCAGGTATAAAATTGAAAGACATTTATTCTATGGAGAGGAAGACATGATAGTATTTATGCTTTGTAGAAAATTGTAAGTAAGTTGTACTTGTGAACAAAAGGTCCAACACAATGAAAAAACAAGCAACAATAAACAGCACATGAAGATATATCTTAAAGAATTCAAAATCTGATGATATTCTGTATAAAGATTGATGAGTCAGATGCTTCAAACTCAAAATCTGATGATATTCCGTTTAAAGATTGATGTGTCAGATGCTTCAATTTCATATATAATTCTATAGATATATATAACAATACATACAGAATGGGAAGTCCAACAGATCTACACAAATTAATTATTTTTATTACATATACATAATGTAGTCTTATATATAATCAAGTAAATTGTGCATAATTTGATTTTTATTACATTATAGATTGTTATTGAAATTGTCAGCAGCACTGAACACTTAGTTCTTTGATTGAAAAATAGTTCTTTGGAAAAAACAAAAATCAACAGAAAAGCAAGCATATCCAGATTATAGTAAAATTACAATACATGATTAAAATACCTTTATAATGAAAACATAAATTCTGTTGAAATAACAAGAAATGTTAAAGTAATACCATACAAAATTGTGTCAAACAGGTACAACAGACAGTAAAACTAGACATACAAACACTTTCTGATATGATATTATCCTAATTTCATCAGGAGCATGATCAAAGTAATCAGGTATATATGTTGTTTTATACAATTAGCCTTTCCAGGTCAATAAAAGTGATATCACAAATAATAAACTTTTCAGGTGATAGATTGAAATAGATATCTGGTCTTGCCAACCTCTAACTATCTTATCTAGCCATAGCCCTTCACAAATCAACAGTAGTGTTTTAAAGGATCCTCATTGATACTGACCATACAGTCAAGTCTGTTGTACTGTTATATGTATTTACATTTAAACATTATCTTTACTAGATCCAAAACTAATTTTTTTTATTTCATAAATACTGATCAACAGTACACAAATATCTGGCAGTTTTCATAATTCACGCAGATTATGACATCAGGCAGACATGACAAAATCAGCTGATGAAGATTCGTTGATAACATCAAATTCAATAATTTATTGGTCTTTACAACTACTATTATGTACAGTTAAAAGTATAATACACTATCTGGATACCTTTTTGTTTGGTTATAACATAAATCTTCCTTCAGCTAATCTTTTTTCTATAAATGCATGCAGTATTAAAAATTGAATCTTCACTGAGAACATAACTTAACATGTTTGTATAAAGAAATAAATGTCTCCTTATGTAAAGTCTACATGTAACGATATAAAAACCACATGAAATACCTGTGCTGCAACTCTAAACCTTTAGACGGATCCTCCAACATTACAGCAAGGCAGGAATGATCACTTTTAGGTATAACAAATTGTAGACTTGACCCCACCCTGAGTATATTTGAGATCCCTAGAGTAAGTAGGGATTATAATTATTATGTGCCTGCTAGAACATCAGCCTGCCTAAAATCAAACACATCCTCTGAGTCTTCTCTCGGTCGCAGCAATTTGTACTCCTTCACTCGTCCCAGGAGGTAGTTTTTATCTCGACCCTCCTGCAAACAAAGATCTTGTATGAATATTCATAAGCTTTCCGCAAAACTTTCCTATGATAATAAAGATCAAATTTATCAATACACAAAATCTAATGATGAAATACTTCTGATGCATCTAGCCAAAAATACATAAACATAGTTACTTAACACTGTTGTAGCAACTGATCATAGACAATGAAATGGTGTGTGACATTTAATATTTCAGTTCCTATCAGGGAAGTTTATCATTTAATGATAATTTATGAAAACTGCAATCACCTGTTTTGTTTGCATCAGACATGGTACTGAAATTGCTATGTTGGAACAACGAAAATGAAACCATTAAGATCTGTAAATGTCCCCCATATATACATCAGTCATGTAACACACATTATTTCACAGCTCATGATATATATTTTTTGTGTTAGATGTGGAGACAACTTACCAGTACTAATTGTTGTTGAAGTAGTTTTTCTGTCCTTTTGTAGCCTGACCCAAGAAGCCAGTAGTAATACATTAGTAGACTAGTTTAAAAAAAAGAAAATATTAAATTATCTAGAGAAACAATTTGGAGATGAAATGTTGAAAGTAAGACAAGCATAATATCCATCATATAAAGCTATTTGATATTTCATTGCATTTCTTATTTGTTAAGATACAGGCAGAGCAAACTGATACATATATAGTATGTGTGTATAGTTTACAAAGCAGTACATAACAGTGACACAACACCTGGGTGTGATGGACAAATTAAAAGAATCTATGAGAATTCAACTGATCTATTTAAGACTAAATATTTGATAAAATATAGTTGTCTCCAATGGAAAGCAAAATCAAATCATATACAGGTATCATGAGAATATTTGTCCATTACAAAACTCCCCCTTTTCATAAACCACTCTGTCAGCAAATTTTGCTACTTACCACATAACAATGATCACAGGGACCAGGAAACCTGCTGTACCCACAAAGTAGAAAATCTCCTTGGCTACTGGTGGCCATTGTTGTACAGTGTTTGAAATAGTATCAAACATGACACTCTCTGTGGAGTTATACACACGGAAAGGCCCACAACTCTGACTTGGAGAGATGCTATAGGAAGAAAATCATTACCCAGATAAAGCAGTGTTTTATTGATAATTCTATATAGCAGGAGTTTCTTGCATGCTTTGTCTGTTATCTAAGTTTGTAGGATATCGACCTACTTTAATAACTATACCTATTTTTATCAAAGATAACAATAATTTTCAACAAGGCTCATTGGGTTTTTACTGGTCACATGTTCAGCAGCTTTATATTTAAAAACATATAGTTGAAAAAGTTACTTAAAGCAACTGGAGGCAAAACCTCCTCTTTCCATCATATAACGATCCATGAACCTTGGCCTCTGAATTCTTTAGAAGTATATGTGTAAAAGCCTGAACTTTGAACTTGACAGTTGGTACAGCTAATTTATTTGAATGAATTTGATAACCTATCACCTGGTATCTTACTTGCCAAATATGATCATGTGGGATTGTTGGTTAATATATTCAGAAGACATCTTAAGAATTATTATTTTGGTTGACTCTGAACTTGAAAGAAGATTAAGGTTATTCATATAAGAAATATCTTTATAGCACTCTATTTCAGGTACCTACTAGTCAAATATCAGGACCCAGGTGCTTCAAGGTTCCTAAAAAAAGTTGTTGTATGTAAAATTATAATGGACGAACAATAAATGATGGATGCTGTACAATACTATATGCTCAGTTGCAATTGGCACCATGCGAATAAGGTATCTGTATTATACAAATATTAATCAACAGGTAATACTGTTTCCCCATGCAAGACAATCTGTCCTGTTTAGGGAAAAACTACTTACGTTCCAATCATGTAGCCGATGGGAAGTGCAGCCAGTATAAATGACAGCAGCAATACAGTCATAAACAGAGAGTTGGAGCGTGACGTCCTAAATGGACGGTCTTCTATACGACTGTTTGACAAGGAAAACTGTAACAGAAACAAACATTTAATCTAAACCAGGACATTTTGCTGCTGCATTCTTAATGTTTTACATTCAAATATTGCTTAAACTGTTACAATGAAACAATAATAAATAATATTTAATCAATCCATTACTTTTCATTTTCATAACAGCTAAGTGATTATATCTTTTATCATATATCTGCATATAGATATACCCTTCTGATCAGGTAAAAATACATGTAAACAGTTAACGAATGAGAGAGTCTTAAGAGTATACATCAGTAATTGTTTTACAATTAATAAATCTGCAAGGTGTCATACCTTTCTGACATAGAAGAAAAGGAAGCACTTGACAAATGTCATAAACGGAATGATGGGACTGAAGAACAAACCCAGCCTGTAACAGAGTGCTCACACGATACAATATCTTGACTAAGTACAGTCTATAAATGAGTAATAATTTTTGAAAAAATGTTGTCTTAATTGCAACAGGTTAGTGGTTATCTGAAGGGAGTGTCCACATATGATTGAAGGCCACACAATTGTCAAATAGACAATAATCTGTTTAATGGAAATGTGAAAAAGACTCCAATAATTCCATATTTCAAGGTATCATTTTTTGTGATCATATTCAATCTTCAACAATAGCAAAAAATTGAAACCGTAGAAAATAACAACATTTACACTAGGTGTACAGGTGATACACTTACTCACCAGCAGAGAATTTGACTATAAATGATATCTACTACATTGATAGGTACACTGAACTCTTGAGCTCCAATCAGTTTGATAAGCTTGCTTCTTGAACTAAATCGATTGAATACCAATCTGGAAAGTAGATAAATAAAGACCATACAATATGGGGCAATATACAACAATGTTTTGATTAAAAAAATATACATGTGATAATCTGTTAGATACAGTTTTAATTTCAAAATGACTTCAAAAATTTCAACAATAGAACTTTGCATTGGAGCTTACAGCAATTTCTAGTTTTTGAAATAACTGCAAAGTGTTATGCTATAAATAATTTGGTTTATTCCGTGGAGATCACCTAACCACAGATCACTCTTACTTCTTAAATTTTCTGACAGTTAACAGTTTACCTACAAGATTCATTCTGGTTGTAAACCTGATACATTTTGCCCCAATTTATTAGTTTTGAGTTTAGATTCAGATTTTGCCAAAGTGGGCATTTTGTTGCAGTGATTGTGTGTAAGGAAGGTTATCATATCAGTAAATTCTCACCTGCGTGGCAGGTGTACAAACAGTACAATGCCTGTCTCCACGATCAGATCCAACAATACCAGTTTGTAGATCTGTTGTCCGACGTATGTCTCCCAGCACTTCAAACACAAGTAAACATAATTCACTTATAAATGTATATCAGTCAAGTGTGTCCCTACAAACCTTTTGGAGAAATTTTCTTTATTGTGTAGTATTACATAAAATGGATGTTACTTAGAAACATTCATCATTTTCTTGGATAACTATAGCTATATTAGGAATAATGCCTAAACATAAATCTGTATGAGATATCATCAAAAGACTTCAGCCATAAAAAAATGTCTTTTCAAAAGCAAGAACCCAGCAGTTTTCCTTGTTAATAGTGCTGATCTGAAGTCATTTACCTTGACGTTGCCTTTGACGGTCCCCCCTGATGTACTCGACCATCGAGTATTACCACAACGTCCAAGATCCTCCTCCTCTCCCTCCCCAATAAGCTGCTGGTACAGAATTGCTATCAGAACAATTGGGGATGCCAGTCGTAGTAATATTGATCTGAAATGTTTTTCTTCGGTATACATATCTCATTTCACGTAATTTCAGTTATCTCCCTTATCTAGGGTCTAGAGAAATTATGTAATATGAAGCAAAAAGCAAAATCAGACAACCAACACTCTAATTTAGTCCTCAGAAGGCAACCACATCAAGTTCAGAAACTCTAATGCCACTAGAAACATTTTGAAAAACACCTGGATTAAGCTCTTGATCCATTTCACTTACATTCTTGTTCATTTTTATCTTGAATCAAGCACTAGGCTTTTACAAGTACAGTGGTAAGATGTATGCTATGTGTATATTAACTGCTATATCAGTAAGTAAACTTAAGCCAGAATAACAAGAGTGACATCTTTTCATGTAAACGATTTCTTTTTTCAAATGCATCATCAATTCAATGTATATTAATCAAAACATCTTTTTATCATTGTCGACAGGAGCATACACATTCTAAATCATTAAGGTAGGATGTCCTTGTAGCAATATCTCACCTTGTCAAAGTAATTTTAATCTCATTTTCGTGGAAATAACGTTCAAACTGAGCTAGTTTTTGAAAGACAAGTGGCAGGAGGAGGTTGAGTGCTGTGATGGTAATATAAGGCACATATTGTACAAAGAGAGCAAGGATGTCCGACAGGTCATTCTTCAACAACTGAAACACATAAATTAACGAATTCAATCTTACCTTGTCACAATGATATTCATTATATTCCCTTCATAAATAGCAATATATCACAAAAATTATCATTTGTGGTCAATGACTGATAAAACAACAGGAGAGATAGGTGTTGATGGTTTCCTTTCTGAAAACAAAGGCAGATGGGAATCATCCCAGGAAGCATAGGAGGGTGGGTTCACCTTGGGGAACACTAGAAGGTGAGGTTCATTTCTGTAACAAAACCTTGAAATTGGTGATTGTCTAAGGAAATATAGAAAGGTTGGGTTGGACTGAGGAATTATAGGAGATATGGGTTGTTCAGGATACAAAACAATATGGGTTGCTTAAATAGAAAGTGATTTGTATAAAAGTCATACAGGTGTTATACTTGTGAGGAAACATAATTAGAGGGTGTTGTATGATACTTACATCCAACATCTTCTCTGTGGTGAAGGCAATGAGGTAGCAGGCACCCCCTAGGAGAGCAAGCACGAGGATGTTGATCGCCACACGAATGGTATATAGTTGACACTTATCCTTCATTGTCTGCTTGGATAGCTTAAGTTTAAGTCTCTGCTCCAGGAGGTCAGCCTTTAAGGACAAAATACTCAAAATATAATAAATATTATGCAATGGTAAAAGCTGATATCGTAAATCAACTCTATACTGTCAAAATTCACTAAGGATGAACAATCTTTACCTGTGAATGTTTATGTAAAGTATATTTCTGGGTATGAAAGTGGTATTTCTGAGTACACAAACAATATTTACCTGTGTATGTTCATGTGTGGTACATTTCTTAGTACGAAGTGGTATTTATAGGTAAAGAAACACATTGGCATGAAGATTAGAGTTATAAAACAAAACAACTGCTTATGTACAGGTAATTACTAGGAATACAGAGATTGATTTACTAATGTGTGGTAGCATTGGATGTAGACATGGAGCTAGTGTGGTATCATTGGATGTAGAGATAGCATTGGATGTAGACATGCAGGATGTAGACATGCAGGTGTGGTAGCATGTGTGGGTAGCATTGGATGTAGACATGGAGGTAGTGTGGTAGCATTGGATGTAGACATGGAGGTAGTGTGGTAGCATTGGATGTAGACATGCAGGTAGTGTGGTAGCATTGGATGTAGACATGGAGCTAGTGTGGTATCATTGGATGTAGAGATGGAGCTAGTGTGGTAGCATTGAATGCAGACATGGAGGTAGTGTGGTAGCATTGGATGTAGACATGGAGGTAGTGTGGTAGCATTGGATGTAGACATGCAGGTAGTGTGGTAGCATTGGATGTAGACATGCAGGTAGTGTGGTAGCATTGGATGTAGAGGTAGTGTGGTAGCATGGATGTAGACACATGCAGGTAGTGTGGTAGCATTGGATGTGTGGTAGACATGCAGGTAGTGTGGTAGCATTGGATGTAGACATGCAGGTAGTGTGGTAGCATTGGATGTAGACATGCAGGTAGTGTGGTAGCATTCGATGTAGACATGCAGGTAGTGTGGTAGCATTGGATGTAGACATGCAGGTAGTGTGGTAGCATTGGATGTAGACATGCAGGTAGTGTGGTAACATTGAATGTAGACATGCAGGTAGTGTGGTAGCATTGGATGTAGAACATTGATGTAGACAGCAGGTAGTGTGGTAGCATTGAATGTAGAGATGCAGGTAGTGTGGTAGCATTGGATGTAGACATGGAGGTAGTGTGGTAACATTGAATGTAGACATGGAGCTAGTGTGGTATCATTGGATGTAGAGATGGAGCTAGTGTGGTAGCATTGAATGCAGACATGGAGGTAGTGTGGTAGCATTGGATGTAGACATGGAGCTAGTGTGGTAGCATTGGATATAGACATGCAGGTAGTGTGGTAGCATTGGATGTAGACATGGAGGTAGTGTGGTAGCATTGGATGTAGACATGGAGGTAGTGTGGTAGCATTGGATATAGACATGCAGGTAGTGTGGTAGCATTGGATGTAGACATGCAGGTAGTGTGGTAGCATTGAATGTAGACATGCAGGTAGTGTGGTAGCATTGGATGTAGACATGCAGGTAGTGTGGTAACATTGAATGTAGACATGGAGGTAGTGTGGTAGCATTGGATGTAGACATGGAGGTAGTGTGGTAGCATTGAATGTAGACATGGAGGTAGTGTGGTAGCATTGGATGTAGACATGCAGGTAGTGTGGTAGCATTGGATGTAGACATGCAGGTAGTGTGGTAGCATTGGATGTAGACATGCAGGTAGTGTGGTAGCATTGAATGTAGACATGCAGGTAGTGTGGTAGCATTGGATGTAGACATGGAGGTAGTGTGGTAGCATTGAATGTAGACATGGAGGTAGTGTGGTAGCATTGGATGTAGACATGCAGGTAGTGTGGTAGCATTGGATGTAGACATGCAGGTAGTGTGGTAGCATTGGATGTAGACATGCAGGTAGTGTGGTAGCATTGGATGTAGACATGCAGGTAGTGTGGTAGCATTGGATGTAGACATGCAGGTAGTGTGGTAGCATTGGATGTAGACATGCAGGTAGTGTGGTAGCATTGGATGTAGACATGGAGGTAGTGTGGTAACATGCAGGTAGTGTGGTAATGTAGACATGCAGGTAGTGTGGTAGCATTGGATGTAGACATGCAGGTAGTGTGGTAGCATTCGATGTAGACATGCAGGTAGTGTGGTAGCATTGGATGTAGACATGCAGGTAGTGTGGTAGCATTGGATGTAGACATGGAGGTAGTGTGGTAGCATTGGATGTAGACATGCAGGTAGTGTGGTAGCATTGGATGTAGACATGCAGGTAGTGTGGTAGCATTGGATGTAGACATGCAGGTAGTGTGGTAGCATTGGATGTAGACATGCAGGTAGTGTGGTAGCATTGGATGTAGACATGCAGGTAGTGTGGTAGCATTGGATGTAGACATGCAGGTAGTGTGGTAGCATTGGATGTAGACATGCAGGTAGTGTGGTAGCATTGGATGTAGACATGCAGGTAGTGTGGTAGCATTGGATGTAGACATGCAGGTAGTGTGGTAGCATTGGATGTAGACATGCAGGTAGTGTGGTAGCATTGGATGTAGACATGCAGGTAGTGTGGTAGCATTGGATGTAGACATGCAGGTAGTGTGGTAGCATTGGATGTAGACATGCAGGTAGTGTGGTAGCATTGGATGTAGACATGCAGGTAGTGTGGTAGCATTGGATGTAGACATGCAGGTAGTGTGGTAGCATTGGATGTAGACATGCAGGTAGTGTGGTAGCATTGGATGTAGACATGCAGGTAGTGTGGTAGCATTGGATGTAGACATGCAGGTAGTGTGGTAGCATTGGATGTAGACATGCAGGTAGTGTGGTAGCATTGGATGTAGACATGCAGGTAGTGTGGTAGCATTGGATGTAGACATGCAGGTAGTGTGGTAGCATTGGATGTAGACATGCAGGTAGTGTGGTAGCATTGGATGTAGACATGCAGGTAGTGTGGTAGCATTGGATGTAGACATGCAGGTAGTGTGGTAGCATTGGATGTAGACATGCAGGTAGTGTGGTAGCATTGGATGTAGACATGCAGTGTGGTAGCATTGTGTGGTAGTGTGGTAGCATTGGATGTAGACATGCAGGTAGTGTGGTAGCATTGGATGTAGACATGCAGGTAGTGTGGTAGCATTGGATGTAGACATGCAGGTAGTGTGGTAGCATTGGATGTAGACATGCAGGTAGTGTGGTAGCATTGGATGTAGACATGCAGGTAGTGTGGTAGCATTGGATGTAGACATGCAGGTAGTGTGGTAACATTGGATGCAGACATGCAGGTAGTGTGGTAGCATTGGATGCAGACATGCAGGTAGTGTGGTAGCATTGGATGTAGACATGCAGGTAGTGTGGTAGCATTGGCTGTAGCGATGCAGGTAGTGTGGTAGCATTGGATGTAGACATGCAGGTAGTGTGGTAGCATTGAATGTAGACATGCAGGTAGTGTGGTAGCATTGGATGTAGACATGCAGGTAGTGTGGTAGCATTGGATGTAGACATGCAGGTAGTGTGGTAGCATTGGATGTAGACATGCAGGTAGTGTGGTAGCATTGGATGTAGACATGCAGGTAGTGTGGTAGCATTGGATGTAGACATGCAGGTAGTGTGGTAACATTGGATGTAGACATGCAGGTAGTGTGGTAGCATTGGATGTAGACATGCAGGTAGTGTGGTAGCATTGGATGTAGACATGCAGGTAGTGTGGTAGCATTGGATGTAGACATGCAGGTAGTGTGGTAGCATTGGATGTAGACATGCAGGTAGTGTGGTAGCATTGGATGTAGACATGGAGGTAGTGTGGTAGCATTGGATGTAGACATGGAGGTAGTGTGGTAGCATTGGATGTAGACATGCAGGTAGTGTGGTAGCATTGGATGTAGACATGCAGGTAGTGTGGTAGTATTGAATGTAGACATGCAGGTAGTGTGGTAGCATTGGATGTAGACATGCAGGTAGTGTGGTAGCATTGGATGTAGACATGCAGGTAGTGTAAGTAGAGGGCTTGTAAATGCATTTCATATTCAGTACACGTAAGACGCTATTTGACAGTCTAGCCTCAATTTCAAGTCATTCACTTGTTATGAAGTGTAATATCAGGTTTGAAATACGCAGAGACGAAACATTGTGATATCTAAGTTGTATACATCAAACCACTTATTTTACATCTTTTCGCTTATTGATTATCATGTATAATCTAAACCAACTAAAAAAATGGCCTGTTTTGACCATTAGCAATAAACTTCTACCTTTAAATCAGTTTTAATGTTGGCTCGTTTGGTGTTGGCGCCGCGGTCTTCCTTTATACAATAATCCCAACCAGCAAATACTTTGTTACTGTACTGAGCCACAGTCTTCTCTATCCCAAGGGTCACCTTTACATTTTTTGCAGAACTATCATAGAAACACAACGATCAGTGATAGGTTATGCACATATCTACCATTATCATACAATAGACAGACATTTACAATTAGTATAGAAAACTTAAACTAAGATTTTGACAAAGCAAAATAATGTTGAAATAATTTTCCATGTTCCAGTGTCAAAGTACTTCTTTACTTTAAGAATATAAATCACTAAGGCATGATATATGTAACCAGTTGTGCATTTCCTCTCAAAAGGTTTTTGAATGATTTTTTTTCTATTTTGCCTCCATATGTTGTTTGAATTTAAATGTGATATCTGAAGAAAAAAACAACCTGCAAATGAATTCAAGAATTTGAGAAATGTTAAGAAATTATGTGATTCTGTGAAATTGACAATTTCAACTTTAATCCTTCGAATTTTTGTTCAATGTATTGCCCTATAAACAGCCAGTGTTATCGGAGATGGGGGTCTTCATAATGTAGTTGGTGACTACCTAACTGAACAAGTTATGGGAGGCCTGCCATCAAGAACGTGTGGGTAAAATGTCATGCCTATGGACATGACAGAGACAGCACAGACTGGTCTAGCTCTCATTTTCCTGTCAGGGGCATCAAACCACGCAACTCAGGTCTTCACCTGATGTTATGTGAGCCAACAAGCTACCAACTGAGGTATTGCAGTGCAATCAAAATAACAGACAGCTGATAAATATACATATTTGCCTATTACAATTATTTACTTTACAGAAACATTCTTAGTGCTCCCAAATAAAAGTGTTGAAAGGGCAAATTAGGGGTTGGGGGGGGGATATGATTTCATGTTTTACACTTGAAACTTAAGTGAAGAAGATCATATAAGATTTTATGTTTGATCAGGAAATTGAATCTTGGTTGTCATGGTGATAGACATGAGTGATGTATTCATAGGCAACAAAAAAGCATCTGACCTTAATATAACATATTTACCAGATGATCATACTCACTTTTTGACAAGTAAGATGAAACTGATGACAAAGCTGGCCCCCACAGCCAGTAGATAGGCAAGGCTCATGTTGTAAACATGTGTATCCTCCCCAGAAGTGTAAGTCTTGTTGAAGTACACCCCATAAAACAACAGCTTCCTCTCCATCCAACCCTACACAGCGAAAACGAGCACAAGTTAGAGACACAGCAAGTGTGTATTACCACAAAGGCTACAAATTTCAGCTGCCACTTTCAGCTTAAGACAAAATATCATCTATAAACTTTGATTGTAATATCTTAATTTGATCAACAATATCAAAATAAAACTAAAACAACCAAACATACATCAGATTTAGATGTAAACTTACTGTTGCCTATATATATATGAATAAATTGTGAAAACTTACTGTTCCCTGTAGAACGTCAAGAACTTTCTCAAATGTGGATTCTGACTCTGTGTAGTTGATATTATAGTCAATGTAATCCAATGTACAGTTAACAGATTCCAGGTATCCGCCCACATCGGAACTCACAGATTCCTGAAACTCGTAAGGCCCCAGGGCTAAGTATGGCACCGTGATCACTCCAAACATTATAATCATGATGTAAAAGTTGAGAAACATCAGCCACTTTATGAATCGAAAGTATGTCATGATTGCTGTCCCATATGAGCCTGAAAATAAGAAAAGTATCTGTTATTTCTGTCATATGCTGATATTTATAATAGCTGTTGACCCTTCCCTGGAATGACATACCTTCTATTATAGTATTCCCAAGCAAATTTTATCCATTTTTGCAAATTCAAAATTTCCAACTGTGTCCAACTGTTGGTATCTATGAGAGCTGTATATCTTTTTAATTAAGAACCCATGGCCCAAGATTGCTCCAAGAAAAATTAGCAAACAACCCCATTTTCAAAGTAACCAATATTGATTGAGGACTTCTAGATATCTCGTTATCTTTATAAAACTGAAATTTAAATGCAAAATATTCTTGAATAATTAAGCCAGAGTAATTTTGGATACGCAAATTTAATGTTATTTGAAATACAAGTCTAATGCTTTTTTTCCAATGATGCTGATGTCTTATGTAATAATATGATCTCTGATAGTTAATCTCTATAATAACTTCTCATGGATGAATGCTAGCTTACTACAATACAAACCTCCATTCCAGGAGAGTTCTATATTAATCATAGCCATGCTAATTCTTTTTTTATTAATTGTTAAATAGTACCTTATCAATCAACAGAAGACAAGTTTGTAGGGTATACAAATGCTATAATTAGCCTATTAACAAAACATTAAAAAAAAAACTTACACTGAATGATAAAAAAAAGAAATAACTGATATGGCTTCATTTGTGATGCCATGTAGAGTTGTAAAAATATCTGACAAAACAACTTGAACTTACTCAGTACATTATAATAAATCATAACGCTGATGTTGTTGACAGCACTTATACAGGTACAGGTTTACAAGTAAATTTATTATGTAATCACAAATATCTCTTGGTTATTGAATACAACATTAACAGACTTCTAAATATTGATATTTGCATATTTAGATAAGAAGTCAACACAGACCTTCAATTTCTTTGAATACACTCAGCCATATAGTGAAGTACTGCATGACATCTTTACTTCTCTGTTTCAATCTAAACCATGTCTACAACAAAGTATTGATATTCAATAGCATATAATATAAAATCACCAGACACTTACACACAGATTTGCTATACAAATTACTTACATGCAGATTTTCAGTAATTGCTTTGCCTTAACCTTCAAACCCAAAACTTACATATATATATATATATATACATATATATTAATGTTTTTTCAAAGAGAAAGTTATATACAAAATTAATATCACCACAATGAAAGATTTACTATCACATTGCCAGTCAATTAACGTAAATTATTTAACAAACATATCATCCTCACTTGTAATTTTAGAAAAAATAAATGGTGCTAAAAGCTCAGGTAAATTTTTACCAAATCCACTGAACAAAAATGTACATATCCAGTGACAAATTTACAATTCATTAAACGAGTCCTTTTCAACTTTATTGCTAAAAAGAATGGGTCTCGCAATGTAAAACTGAAGTATTTCCAGAAAAAACATTGAGTGCCAACAAAATTCTTGGAGTACAAGACTCGGGACTTACATGTAGATTGATCATTGCATATCAAATAGAAAGTTTCATTATTTCATTATAGGTAAATTGCTTTAGAAGATGTGTCGTCAAAATCAGTGTGATGGCCTGCATTTCTAACATAAATGTATTAGAATATTTACTATACAATGTTTAAACTACATGATGTAACTTGAGATAAAATTCAACAAGTCATTCAGATTGTCAAATAGACTGGCAGACATAAATAAATACTTTTCCTCTACACGTGATGAGGTATAAAAAGTTTGAGCTGAAATTTTAACCTTCCACTTCAGGACAAATATAGACTCAAGTGTTTCAAGCACTGTGTGAACCACAAATCAGATCCTACAACTGCATGCATGAGCAAACTTTGTTGAAATATTTACATAGAAATCAAAGGAATACTATTTCTAGACACTGCATTCGCGGGTATGTGCAAGATTTTAGAGATCTGCATAAGGTATTAGTGGTTTGTCCTTGTGAGGGTTGAGTATATATCTACCTTGGATTCTGTGCCCACGTGTAACCGATTCATTCTGGTAAGCGTGGAGTCTCTGGGAGACAAAAAGATGAAACTTAATTAATATTTTTATTGAGATACACCTATCAGCAAAATTACTGACACAAATCTGTTATATATCCAACAGGCCCACATGTTCATTTTTTTATCTGTTACATCAAGCATACTGTAAAACCATTACCTTTTGAGGGGTTTTGTTTTTGTTGATTTTGTGGGTAAATCTGAATCCATGAAAATCATATGTCCCTAAAATTATCAACAATTAAGAATGCTTATTATTTTACCACTTAAGACAATTTTGTGAGTACAACTTAAATACGACATTAGAAATCAATTGTCAACAAAATTATGTTTTTACAAAAAAAAAAATACAAAATTTAAGCCCCATGAAAATATATGATTTTACAATATTTAACTGGCAAAAAGTTAGTTACCATCAATACTTACAATTCTCCCCTGTAAAGGAACCTGTACCCTACTATTTACCTTAATATGTTATTAACTACATTGTATGTGCACATACATGATATATCATAAATGGTGACTTTGAGATACATTTGTATATCTAACTTCTTTTACTCAATTGAACTCCTCTGCCAAGTCATTAACATTCTGAAACAGGACTTTCACTTTTTAAAATTTGATCAAACTACTCAATGCAACCAAAAAACCATACTGAGTGTAATGTGACTGGAGGAAGATTTAAATGCATGCTATTTAGGTTAATTGACAAATGAACTCTAATTTACATTAAAGAGTGATGACCATTTAATCTGTTTTTTTTTCATCTTATTGTCATTGTTTACATATATAGTCAATCAAATACACTTTGATTTTTATTTTCAATAAATGTTGATCCTTCATGGCTTTGGTATGATCTCTACAAAATGTAAGGCATTCATGAAAATGCTTCAGGACATATTGAAGGACTTTTGCTAAAACATTGTCAGTGCTTTGAAAGTAAGTGTAATTTTGACTTTAACTTTGATATCTAAATAGGTGACAAATTTGGTTGAGATTATATGTAATTTCATCATTGTCTGAACTCTGAACCCTTTTAAGAATGAGATCAAAGAATGATTATTTCACATCAGAATGACATTGAAACATATTCAGTAGCTGCATAAAAAACAAATTCAAATCCCCACAATGTACAGAGTATATAACTACAATCCAGGATGTTTATGCTACAATGATGTATTTTACAATTACAACCCTAATCTGCTGTACTAAACTCTCTCCATCCAGTAAATTGCTGATTATAATTACTGCGGAGCAGATATCATACAAAAGCCATGCATCTCCAACAGATAAATAAGTATAATTTTAAGTGTTTAATCTTGTAAGTAATATGTAAAAATGATAATTGAGGAAAGAATATTTACAAACTTAGGATGTAAACGTCTGGGCTAATTTTGTTTACTGGTTTGACCAGTTGGTCCAGACTTGTTTGTTTATAAAGTTCATGATCTACATGTATCAGGAAGTAACACTAGTGTCTCAGTATATCGTCTGTATTAACTGTTCTGGTATTATCAACCATTCATAACAACTGTCCATCATAAAGACTAGCATAATTTAGAAATAATAAATGTCTTAAGGTTAAGAGAAATGAAGACAAGACATCTATTCAAATGTCTTAAGGTTAAGAGAAATGAAAAGACATCTATTCAAATGTCTTATGGTGTACAGAAATGAAAAGACATTTATTCAAATGTCTTAAGGTTAAGAGAAATGAAGACAAGACATCTATTCAAATGTCTTAAGGTTAAAAAAAATGAAGACAAGGCATGTATTCAAATATCTTATGGTGTACAGAAATGAAAAGACATTTATTCAAATGACTTTTGGTGTACAGAAATGAAGTCAAGATATGGATTCAAATGTCTTATGGTTTGAAGATATGAAGAGGAGGTTTCTGGCCAAGTGTTGTATGATTTATTGAAGTGATCAGGTGGCAGACTGCCAAACACTTTCTAGTTTACAGATATGACAGAATGGCAGTTTCTAAGATAATGTCTCTGGAGTCATGGTTTATAGAAATGATCATGTGGCACCAATAATCACTAAAATGTGTATTATTGCTCCGTAGATTTGTTATATGATGTAAACCTACTGATAACAAGGAAGTAGAAATGTACAGTATACATAAAACCCATTATAGTCTGGTTTGTGCAGGTTTACCTCAATAATTCTGTACCTCGTCTGGCTCTGAAGTCAAACATCAATGTGTAAATACCATATACTGAGATGCTTACTAGGTTACCAAGAGATAATAAATTTTGTCTGAAAGGCTGTAGCAATAGGATATGCGTACTGAGTACGTTTAGCCTAAAAACTGTTGTCAAACAGATCTGAGATGAAATTTTCAATATTCTTCAAATATTCAAGGGAATGTTTGCAAATGACATATAATCTATATATAGAATTAGTCTCTAGGCAGGAACAGAAGAAAACACATGTAATAGTCTACCGAGTTAATTAATTAAGGTTAGAGTCCTTATTTCATTAAAATCTCCTTCATAAAGTTAAATGAAGTTAGACATGACATGATCAATGATAAATACAAGCAGTATAGTAAGCCTTGTCCAATCAAATTGTGAAGAGTACCAATATTAGGTTTTAACTGATAATTTTAATTTTCCAAATTAACAAGGAAAAAAATCATGGACTTAGACATCAATCTATTCTAAATCAATGATTATACATAATGATAATGTTGAAACAAAAGAAACAGAGAAATGAAAATACCTTAGATTATGTTGGTTAATTTTGAAGGGATTTGTACCAAATGTGTTTCTTTAATATAAATTCAGGAAATATGGTGGTTTTATATTGGCAATTAAGATTTAATGTGAGTTCAGGAATATTTTAGTTAAGCATGCTAGCAGTCTAGATATATAAGAATTCCAGACTCTTTAGCTCACATTATACACATTATTATCAGACATGGATTCCACAGACTAACTGACAGTACTGTTATATAAATAGTGTTAGCAGACATGAATTCCAAAGACAGGGTTATATGTTAGCTAAACATAGATCCCAGAGTCTTACTGTTGCCAACAAAGTTATTATTCTGTATAATAATTAATCTTTAAAAGTACTTGTCCTTTTAACATGGAAACTACTTACTGGTTTCTTTCTCTGTTAGGGCAAAAAATGCAATCAAATCATACACATGTTAGTTTTTCTGTAATGTGACAGGCAGCATGCACAAATACAACAAAATCTATAGATATTAGCTTCTCATCCTACTATCTGTAACAGCAGTGATATTACAGTAGCATGGATACCGATCTTTAAATGGGTACATCTAATATCTATCTAAGTCTGCACAGAGACTGAAACAGGGTGCTGATATCAACTACCTGAAAATAAAATTAGATGGAGCATTGCTTTGTAATGGGTTAATAACTTATTGGGCTAGTCAGACAAATGATGCTAGTAAAACAATGTAACAGTTTTACTGTGTACATCAGCTGGCTATACTTTAATGTACAAGGGTAAGGTTACCGTGCCTAACTGACAATTTCTTCAGCAGTGATAGCTTAAGTTTTCAATCATCATATAATTAGAATTGCTCCTGTTTCTATATTTATAACCTAGGTGTCAGAAATTCTGTTTATTTTCCATTAACTTGAGTGTAGAATGTGACCCAGTTCACCAAATCTGTATTTCCCACCATTGGGTGTACCATTTTGAAATGTCCTCAGTCATCAATATATTTTACTAATCTAAAGTGTTTTGTCTCATGTAAATACCACAATTTCATATAAATATTAATTGATTTACCCTATTACCTACTAAATCAATTATGAAAATATTCTAATAACTATGAATATTTTAGGTGAACAAAATTATTGCAGGAACTTTTTACTTTTGTTGTCAAGGAGAAAATGGATGGGATTTGTTTAGCTATCAGTCAATGGCTTTTATGAATGGCTGTTTTGCATAGATTAATGTCACATTAAAAAATACTATATCTGACTTTTTGAATGTTGAAGATATTGTTAATATAACCATTAACTTTACATTTTGTTTCGTTTGAGATCATCAATCCATTGGAGCAGGAAGTACACATTTTACCTGGTGCTCTATTGTATATGTGATCTCATAAACTACACAAAATATCAGGTTAACCATTGATTAACATAGTGTTTGCCATTTTAACACAATTTAACAAATTTTCTAGCTAGGAATTTAATTTATTCATGTTAACTGTTTCCTTATCTTAACACTCTAATGATGTGTATCATCTCTAAACAAGACAGCCAGTTCAAAAAATTTCATTTAAGTTAACCTATATAACTAGGTTATATCCCAACCCATGTGCCTAAAGAATGCTCCATCGCGTCTTAGGTTTAAAACCCCTTTCTTCAGATCTAGTTAACATCTAATGATGTGTATCATCTCTAAACAAGACAGCCAGTTCAAAAAATTTCATTTAAGTTAACCTATATAACTAGGTTATATCCCAACCCATGTGCCTAAAGAATATCGCGTCTTAGGTTTAAAACCCCTTTCTTCAGATCTAGTTAACATCTAATGATGTGTATCATCTCTAAACAAGACAGCCAGTTCAAAAAATTTCATTTAAGTTAACCTATATAACTAGGTTATATCCCAACCCATGTGCCTAAAGAATGCTCCATCGCGTCTTAGGTTTAAAACCCCTTTCTTCAGATCTAGTTAACAGACATATTTTTATTGATATTTACTCTTACTTCTACATTTAGACCACATGTTAACAGGGTCTCATCAAGCTAGACATATTGCAATTATAAAAAGTTACCTCATCAAGCTGGCCAAGTTGCCAGCTGTCACTTCTTCTCGTTCCTTCATCTCGGTGTAGCGTTCTCGTAGTGTCTGTGGTCTATTATTATGAAATTGTTCATGCTCATTTTGCAGTTCTTTATGTCGTTGTTTCAAGGATTTTGTACGAGAACGCTGTTGGTATCGTAAGCTTGGCAACAAGTCTGATTCCTCCTCATCCCAATCTTCATATTGACCATCTTCTCCTCGAAGACGCGAAGATTTTCGTCTTCTCCGAACCAATGTAGCTCCTCCATCACTACTAGAGTTACGTGTTTTTTGATGCCTCATTTCATTGCCAAATTCTCCATGGTCCGACCTAAAATGGTAGCAATGCCACTTTTAAATACTAATGTGGTTATCATTTGAACAATGAAGCAGTGTTTCATAATTATCAAACACAGAGCTAAACTTAACCTTTCCTACACGAGTTAGGCTGTCCTAATTATTTGTCAGTCCATAGGGAGACCAAATAGCTATTTCACATGAATTTACAAAATTTTTGTATAGAATAATAAGGAAGAACAATGCTTTTGTTATTTTACTTATTCTTAATATATAACCCTTGCACTACTTTTGAAGATGGAATCAGTTCCTTCCACTAGACAATGTAGCAAGGAAAAATTGGTTCTTATTCAAAATTTCATGTCATATCAGTAATTTACCTTTTTCAATGTCACCAAGTTCTATTGGTCATGCACTCATGACTTTTGTTCTATTAGTTATCCCTTCTGTATTCTGCTAATCAGAGTTCCTGATCAGACTAATTGTACAGTTTCTAAACCAAAATACATTGCTTGTTTTAACTTTTCATTAACCACCATCTGCCCTGTAGTTGTTCTAAACTCAGATTACTAAATTCTCATTCAATCTCAGCAGTTCACTTTTGAAATTGCTCAGGTTCCATATAACCTGCTATCCTATGCCTACAAGAAACTTTCACCACACTAATGATTACCTGTATTGACTGCCACCTGCATCATGTTCAAGATTAATATTAAAGACAGGTTCCATAGCTACTCCTGTAAAGTCTTGTCCCCTCTCCATGTTTCCCTGTGTGTGACCAGGAGATTCTAAAATCATTGAAACAAAAACATACATCAAACAAATTCAAACAAGGCAGAGCTAATTTGGGTAATCATAATGAAATATCATTACTGGTGTGGAATATGTGATGTTAATGTAGTACATCATTACAGGTGTGGTAGGGGTGATCATCAATGTTATACAACATTTCAGGTGTGGTAGGGGTGATCATCAATGTTATACAACATTTCAGGTGTGGTAGGGGTGATCATCAATTCTATACATTATTACAGGTGTGGTAGGGGTGATCATCAATGTTATACAACATTTCAGGTGTGGTAGGGGTGATCATCAATTCTATACATTATTACAGGTGTGGTAGGGGTGATCATCAATGTTATACAACATTACAGGTGTGGTAGGGGTGTTATACAACATTACAGGTGTGGTAGGGGTGATCATCAATGTTATACAACATTACAGGTGTGGTAGGGGTGATCATCAATGTTATACAACATTACAGGTGTGGTAGGGGTGATCATCAATGTTATACAACATTTCAGGTGTGGTAGGGGTGATCATCAATGTTATACAACATTACAGGTGTGGTAGGGGTGATCATCAATGTTATACAACATTACAGGTGTGGTAGGGGTGATCATCAATTCTATACATTATTACAGGTGTGGTAGGGGTGATCATCAATGTTATACAACATTACAGGTGTGGTAGGGGTAATCATCAATGTTATACAACATTACAGGTGTTGTAGGGGTGATCATCAATGTTATACAACATTACAGGTGTTGTAGGGGTGATCATCAATGTTATACAACATTACAGGTGTGGTAGGGGTGATCATCAATGTTATACAACATTTCAGGTGTGGTAGGGGTGATCATCAATGTTATACAACATTTCAGGTGTGGTAGGGGTGATCATCAATGTTATACAACATTACAGGTGTTGTAGGGGTGATCATCAATGTTATACAACATTACAGGTGTTGTAGGGGTGATCATCAATGTTATACAACATTACAGGTGTGGTAGGAGTGATCATCAATGTTATACATCATTACAGGTGTGGTAGGGGTGATCATCAATGTTATACAACATTACAGGTGTGGTAGGAGTGATCATCAATGTTATACAACATTACAGGTGTGGTAGGGGTGATCATCAATGTTATACAACATTTCAGGTGTGGTAGGGGTGATCATCAATGTTATACATCATTACAGGTGTGGTAGGGGTGATCATCAATGTTATACATCATTACAGGTGTGGTAGGGGTGATCATCAATGTTATACAACATTACAGGTGTTGTAGGGGTGATCATCAATTCTATACATCATTACAGGTGTGGTAGGAGTGATCATCAATGTTATACAACATTACAGGTGTGGTAGGGGTGATCATCAATTCTATACATCATTACAGGTGTGGTAGGGGTGATCATCAATGTTATACAACATTACAGGTGTGGTAGGGGTGATCATCAATGTTATACATCATTACAGGTGTGGTAGGGGTGATCATCAATTCTATACATCATTACAGGTGTGGTAGGGGTGATCATCAATGTTATACAACATTACAGGTGTGGTAGGGGTGATCATCAATGTTATACATCATTACAGGTGTGATAGGGGTGATCATCAATGTTATACAACATTTCAGGTGTGGTAGGGGTGATCATCAATGTTATACATCATTACAGGTGTGGTAGGGGTGATCATCAATGTTATACAACATTACAGGTGTGGTAGGGGTGATCATCAATGTTATACAACATTACAGGTGTGGTAGGGGTGATCATTGAAGAACGATACATATATATATATATATGATGAGTAATGACAGGCCTATGGTTATGTATTATATTTACTCAATTAAAGTCATCCCAGATCTTTGGCCATAAATTCAAATATTATGGGCAATAAACCACGGTTTATCGATGGATCTATATGTACCTTGTACCTATGAATTGCTGTAAATATAAATATTTTGGTGTCATATAGAAAATAACCCTAATCTGTCAGTCTAAAGGCTTTTATTAACTACGTTTACTAGTTTGACCACTGGGACAAGCCACAGGCACCTGTATCTGGAACATAAACAACACAAGCAAAAATACAGTCTAGTATATCATCAATACGTACTGATGTTATAGTGGACTGGATGGTACAGGTGCATGTTGACAGGTGTACTACTATATCATAGTCTTATGTCAGCAGTACATAAGTGTATATATATAAATCGCTAATTTATCATAAAAGTTGAATCATACGTATCCATGTGTCATATCAACCAGATATAATAGTGTCTATACAACCTGGACTGGAATCAAGTATCAAGGGACATTTCTCTCCCGGCTCCCAAGTTCCTCTGTCAGCCATTGTTTACTATTTCATGACCTATATATACACACACTGTTAATACACACAAGCTATGGCTGGCCGATCAAGTGAACAGATTTTCAAGTAGTTAAAGCTACATTAATGTACTTAAATGCATCTTATTACACTATTAAACATAATTTGACAGTATGTATATAAACCCTGACTATTACATGACCACAGCCCCATTTCAGACTGAGATGAAAGTATCCAATTCTATTATTCTCTTATTTGTTTTATTTATGTGTGGTTTGACTCTTTAGACTGGTACATACTTTGTACATTAATTATTTGTAATGGTCTCTAGACAGGTTGTATGACTAGTCCTTCATACAGTTTGTATTATTGTTCTAAATACAGGCTGTATATGGTTATTCTGGACAGGTTATATGTGGTTCCTCCATAGAGGATATATGTAGTTCATGTTTACAGGTTGGATGTGGTTCCTCCATAGAGGATATATGTAGTTCATGTTTACAGGTTGGATGTGGTTCCTGTGTATAAATTGTATTTGAACCTCCTGACAGGTTATGTGGTACTCTAGACAAAATATATGTGGTTCTCTATGCAGGTTGTATGTGTTTCTTCTTGGCATGTTGTGTGTTGTCCCTCTACCAGGTTGCAGTGGTTCCATTAGGCAAGTTGTGTGTAGTTCTTCTCAGCAGGTTATTTGTGGTTCCTCTTGAGAGATTGTACATGTATGTGGTTTAAGGTACTTATAATGGATGTATTGGCAGACAAGGCCAGTACCTGTGGATGGTTGAATGTTTTCCCCATCCAAGTTTTCTTATAGTTTTGCCAATCTTTTGCCCATCTAAGAATTTAAGGCTATATGTGGTTTGCCTTTGCAGGTTGTACATGTATGTGGTCAATTGTAACAATTTATTTTATAGTTTCTCTTACTGTGTTATTTGTGATTCCTCAAAGTAGGTTTTTTTCTCTGTAGCTATGATACTACAGGCAGTTCCTTATCATCACTCATTATAGTCTGATGTATTCAATCAAATGGTTATTGGTCAAGTGGTCTATCATTCCTTGACAGGTATTAGTGTTTTCCTAATCATCTTTAAACTTAGCATTTCAAAAATCTTGGAAAATGCTCTAATCTACAATTTTATGTCCAGTATATGATATGTCATTTCATTTAATTGATACAGGCAAACGATACCGACTAACTCTGCTCACTTCTTAAACATTCTGAAATTCAGATTGGTATATTCGATAACATACAAAAAACTGTTTCAAATGACATGAAAACACTTTTTTTTTTTTTTTTAACTCCTTTGAAATGAATTCAAAGTAACATCTTAAAAGTCAGTGATATGCATCTCTGTATCAGTTATACTGTAACACCAATTGTACAATACCTTATACACTTTTTGTTCTTTACTTGTAAATGGTACTTATAGTTTATCTATATTCAAACTACACCTAGTCTAGACTAGAAACTCACCCATAGCTGCCAAGTCACTTGTTTACAAACATCGTAGGCCTTCACCAAAGTTCCCTAGACAACCAGTGCATGCTGTTTTGGAGATTTTATATACAAATATTGATTACTTCCCCACCTGTGACACCATCAACTCGCCATCAGTTCCCTCTAATATATAAAAATACACAAGTATTAAATAAAATCTGTGTATTCTCACATTCATGTGAATGAAAAACCAGTCATATCTGTCAGAGCAACTAAAAATTGTAACTTTTTAACATAAATCCATTGATGCAAGAGCTTATATGTCTCTACCATAGACAGTCAAATAAACCAGAGGTTACATGTCTCTACCATAGACAGTCAAATAAACCAGAGGTTACATGTCTCTACCATAGACAGTCAAATAAACCAGAGCTTATATGTCTCTACCATAGACAGTCAAATAAACCAGAGCTTATATGTCTCTACCATAGACAGTCAAATAAACCAGAGCTTATATGTCTCTACCATAGACAGTCAAATAAACCAAAGCTTATATGTCTCTACCATAGACAGTCAAATAAACCAGAGCTTATATGTCTCTACCATAGACAGTCAAATAAACCAGAGCTTATATGTCTCTACCATAGACAGTCAAATAAACCAGAGCTTATATGTCTCTACCATAGACAGTCAAATAAACCAGAGCTTATATGTCTCTACCATAGACAGTCAAATAAACCAGAGCTTATATGTCTCTACCATAGACAGTCAAATAAACCAGAGCTTATATGTCTCTACCATAGACAGTCAAATAAACCAAAGGTTACATGTCTCTACCATACACTGTCAAATAAACCAGAGCTTATATGTCTCTACCATAGACAGTCAAATAAACCAGAGCTTATATGTCTCTACCATAGACAGTCAAATAAACCAGAGGTTACATGTCTCTACCATACAGTATCAGTAAATTACAAACAGGATTGAGAAGTACATAATTCTGTACTTCATCAATCAACATGCAGTTGAGTTATTTCATTCATTTGATAAATTCAAACTAATTTAACCTAGGCAACAAAATGACTACCATTAAGGTCATATAGGCAACAAAATGACTACCATTAAGGTCAGATAGGCAACAAAATGACTACCCTTAAGGTTAGATAGGCAACAAAATGACTACCATTAAGGTCAGATAGGCAACCAAATGACTACCCTTATGGTCAGATAGGCAACAAAATGACTACCATTAAGGTCAGATAGGCAACAAAATGACTACCATTAAGGTCATATAGGCAACAAAATGACTACCATTAAGGTCAGATAGGCAACAAAATGACTACCCTTAAGGTTAGATAGGCAACAAAATGACTACCATTGAGGTCAGATAGGCAACCAAATGACTACCCTTAAGGTCAGATAGGCAACAAAATGACTACCATTAAGGTTAGATAGGCAACAAAATGACTACCCTTAAGGTCAGATAGGCAACAAAATGACTACCATTGAGGTCAGATAGGCAACCAAATGACTACCCTTAAGGTCAGATAGGCAACAAAATGACTACCATTAAGGTTAGATAGGCAACAAAATGACTACCCTTAAGGTCAGATAGGCAACAAAATGACTACCCAACAAAATGACTACCCTTAAGGTCAGATAGGCAACAAAATGACTACCCTTAAGGTTAGATAGGCAACAAAATGACTACCCTTAAGGTCAGATAGGCAACCAAATGACTACCATTAAGGTCAGATAGGCAATTAAATGACTACCATTAAGGTCAGATAGGCGACAAAATGACTACCATTAAGGTCAGATGTCACAACAAGAATTCAGATGTCAACAAGTCATAAAGCATACATTCAGTATTGCACTGGCAATTTTTTTTTTTAATTGATTCCAATATTCCTTTTTTTTACTTTCTTACATATTGAAAGATAATGTATGGAAATATATGTACCAGGTATGTACTTTTTTGTACAGTGATACTTGTATATTGTATATATCATGTATATGTTTAAATCTTTAAAAAAATCAAAGATGCAGCTAACATTGATTTCTAAAAATGATCTACACTGACATTGACTGTTATATGAAATGCTGTTAGCCTGATCATGCATGCTGATGATGGCGAGACAAGAGACACCCCCCAAACAAAACCCACAACCCCACATCCCACCAACTTCCTTGAGATATGTTGAAACAATATCTCTTCAGTTCATTATAGATTAGAGATCCTATGAACAAATACACTGGGTACACTATATAGGTACAGAGTGCTGCAGTGTATTTCTACCAATCAATAATCCATCACACTGCCAGCCACTCACCTTCTATATTAATCTGCAGCTACAAATTATACAGTTCTGAGATAGGTCCCAAACAACACAATGGTTAGACAGGTCCTAGACCATATAAAAATCAGACAGGTCCTGTAGTATACAATGGTAAGGTAGGTCCCAAACAACACAACAGTTAGACAGGTCCCAGACTGTATAAAAATCAGACACGTTCTGTAGTATACAATGGTAAGGTAGGTCCCAAACAACACAATGGTTAGACAGGTCCTAGACAGTATAAAAATCAGACAGGTCCTGTAGTATACAATGGTAAGGTAGGTCCCAAACAACACAACAGTTAGAGAGGTCCTAGACTGTATAAAAATCAGACACGTTCTGTAGGATACAATGGTAAGGTAGGTCCCAAACAACACAATAGTTAGACAGGTCCTAGACTGTATAAAAATCAGACAGGTCCTGTAGTATACAATGGTAAGGTAGGTCCCAAACAACACAATGGTTAGACAGGTCCTAGACTGTATAAAAATCAGACAGGTCCTGTAGTATACAATGGTAAGGTAGGTCCCAAACAACACAACAGTTAGAGAGGTATAAAAAATCAGACAGGTCCTGTTAGACAGGTCCTATACAATGGTAACAATGGTAAGGTAGGTCCCAAACAACACAACATTTAGACAGGTCCTAGACTGTATAAAAATCAGACAGGTCCTGTAGTATACAATGGTAAGGTAGGTCCCAAACAACACAACGGTTAAACAGGTCCCAAACAACACAATGGTTAGACAGGTCCTAGACTGTATAAAAATCAGACAGGTCCTGTACTTCACAATATTAGATAGGTTCCAGACTACACACTGATTGGTCCAGTCCTGTACTTATATCCAGTGGTTAGACAGGTCCAAGACTACAAAAGTTAAAAAAGAAACTGGCCTTTATAATCTTAGACTATACAAACACATACAGAAACCTGTCCTTGATGGCATAGTGGTTAGACAGGTTCTAAGTTTTTTCTTCAAGTAAATTGCTACTAAATTGCTTTATACTTTAATGACTTTCAATGTGCAAAGCTATTAGTTCAGGTAAATAGTGTTCTAGTTGTTGTCTGTGTCTTAAAAAGTTATGAAAAAATCTTAACCCAGAGAACAACTAAATCTACAGCTCAATTTCTGAGAGTTAAAGTTTGTTTGTTTTCAATATCTAACATGTTGAACTGCATGTTTAACAGAATGAACGATAATTAGGTAGTAATTGTTTAACTCAACGCATGTATATGCAATTAGCTTAAACTACCCTTCCTTTTTCATGACACTCTGAATCCTGAGAGCTGCCAAACACAAACAGTAAATAGTACTGAGAATTGCAGCTTTATGAAGTTGTCATTTATAATTTTAAAGAAAAATGTTGAAATTATACAAGATAGCCTCATATTTAATGAGGTATATTTCAGGATATTTAAAATATTTTATACATATCTTTTAAACACATAAGATATCTCATTAAAAATATGGCATTTCTTTAAATACATGTATATCTAAACCTTTACTAAATATCTTATCTTAACTATAGGATAAATAATGTATTTCAGACATTCCCATGTAAGATATACTATATGTGTATATATATATATTAAACATACAGTTTTCTTAAAAACTGGATATTCTTTCCTGAATGAATGTCGACTTGTTCTGCAATGAAAGAATTTAAAAATCTTAGGCGTCAATTTATATTTGTGAAGTTGACTAACTGTGATGCATGACATTGGGTTCAAATAAAGGAATATTCCATTTGTACACATTCACAACACAGACTCAATTATATGGTACATGTTAATACATTAAAGAAAATTTGGATGTCAGAGATTGATCTTTTCGCATTGTGGGTGGAAATCATTGGCTGAAAACTGGTTACTGTATGGTGTGATATAGATAATGACAAAAATACTGAGGCAGTCTAGATATGAAATTGAATACCCATTGGATATCTAAATACAAAGGTTGACAATACTATACAGGTGTGAATTTGACTGTTTTCACCTGATTGCGACAATCATGGATTTATATGGTCTATTTTAACAATAATTTCTAATTAAATAATTAAAACAAGAACCAAGGTCCATTCAGTGTAGATAAGGAGAAGTTCATCTTCTAGGGCCCAGAAGGATACCTCGATAATAATTTCTAATGTATATTTTATGTAGTATGATAACCTGAAGTCCCTTCTATACTCTATAAAGGATATATATGGTGATATATTTCATCACATATCAAGTTTCATTGTCACAAATTTGTCTCCTCTGTACAGCTGTTTGCATAATAATTATCAATACTCACTGTTCACCCAGCCCTCTAAAGCAGCATGTTAATCAATGTTTGACACCATGTTGGATAATATTTATAAAAAAACCCAGTGAAATACTGAACATCTAATGATTTCAAGTTCCTAATGAGTACTCTGATTCAAAATATAAATATGTAATCCTATGTGATGATCAGAATTCTACTTAGACTGTCATATAATCACATTCGCTGCTTGTTGGAATGTGTCAATTACATGTATACATCTGAAGCTATATATATATATACATTTAGATTATAATATAGATACATATGTTTGAATAGTACACTTTCCATCATATCATTTTTACCTTGATATATTTTAAGTTTAACTACATGTATATATCAACTAAACTTACCGAGTACATTATACAGTTTAATGGTATACCACTCACCTGTGAATATTTTAACAGGAAAAACTCCACAGGTAATTTATTCGGGAACCACCATATCCTGATTCATAAAATTAATTTTCAAACAGTATGATGAATAAGTCCCACCGAATGAGAACATCTCACAAGTAATAGGTCTAGAGCCAAAGGCCTGTGTTGTACACTGGCGTGTCAATATGTAGAAGTACTGTATATATGCTGTACACGTATGTGTGTACACTATGCACATGTGAGCTGCTTTTAACACACCCGGTCCTAATGAGTTCTCAATGGGTTTCTACCTGGTGGAGAACCCTGTACGCCTCAGACACAAACCCTGTTTACATGTATATGTGTGTACCTAGCTACTTTCAGAAGGAGTGGGTATGCGTCTTTTTATAAAGGCCTGGGTGGGTCTATTGTTATCATATTCAAACCAGTCATTGAAAAACTGAGAAAAGTTCTATTTTTAGACACTTGGCATGATGAACTTGACTAGTGTTACACTTAACAAACACAGACTTCTTGTATTTCAACCAGAGCCGTAGATTTGACAGATTATGTGGTCACATTTCTAGCATGAAAACCTCTAAATAACCATTAAGTACACATAAGTTGAGAAATACAAGTCCGTGTAATAAGACATACGAACATCATTTATAGCGTGTGGCTATTGAGCTGAAGACACGATGTCAAAAGCGAAAAAACAGTATTGGTTGTCATATCAAAAGCGCAGATTAGCTTCGAGCCTACATCATGTATTCAAAATGAAAATTCTCTTGCAGTCGGTATGTTTTATCAACATAACCAAAGACCATTTAATAACCAAACAGCAGATCTAGAAACAAAATTCAGTTTGTTTTCCAGTACTCGACTAACAGACCTACATGTACTGGTCACAATTTATTTTCAGAGAGACTGACTGGTATAGTTGTAATGTACAGTTACATGGGCAACATTTCTGACGACAGCAAATTTGATTTACGTAACAAGGCTCCGGTCCTGTGTCGTGTACTTTTGCTAGCGTTGGATGCCGAAATCATATAAGCGACCCGTTCATGGACTTCAATGTAACGTGTGTACAGGGACATCATACATGAACCTATCCTCCGTCAACATTCCTTTCTAGTTTTAAACGGAGAATCTTGAAATGACATAAAGGGAATACATGCAGATCAACGCGTTCCGGAACCCAAGTAATAGCTCGTTCTCGAAAAGGGAACCGGGGTTACACACCGAAGCTGCTAGCGTCCTATCATTACTTCCTTTATTTCCTCCAGTTATACATAAGTATCTAAGACCTATAGCTCTAATAAAATTCTTGGCGAGTTTAAATGTCATGAAATGAAACCAAATAGACGATATTCTCATCCGATACCCCCTTCTTTGGTGACGTCACAAAGCATGGGACGCTAAGACATTACTTAATATGTGACGTTGCAGTGAAAAAATGGGAACGTTTAGCCAATCAGGTTCTGCTAGGTCATATTACACATGGAACAGTAGAAATCCTGGTGTAATGAATGTTGATTAATGAGTAATTATGTAACACTGTTGGTTATTATTATTTTTGTAATTTCCGTTAGCTGAATTGTTTAACCATTATCAAACATTCTTGCGAAAATAACAGTAATTATAATAATTTTGATATCTCTGGATGAACATTACAAACCTTTCGTACATGTAATCAACCCCTAATTGTTTAGTTCCTGTTTACAATCCAGCTGATATTCGCTCCATATCTTTAGGAACTCTTATTTTAAAGTACCGGTCTTCTCATCGATGCCATTTTATTCGACTTTCAAAAAGTGCAAAGTATATATATCTTTACTTAATTTCTTTTAATAGACTCCGAGATGATGTATGAAGGTTTGTAAGCATGGTGGAGGGGAGGTAATTTGCATTAAATATAATGTAATTTTCTCCCTTGAATGAAGAGTCGCAGCTGAAAAAGACACAAATATTTGAGTAAGTATTAAATTGTCGTGATGTCGCATTTATAGTCGTTATAAATGACACTGCTTTTAGCTAAACACAAGCAAACCATGTCTTTATCATAAATGCCGTACCACGACAGTTCGGTGCTTATATTTACATTGTGTATGGATTTGTCAGTCTGATGCCGATAACAGCTGGCCTATTGAAACTAATGAATTTTGCATTATCGACAGCGTACTTACTTCGAGTAGCCACGAAACTTCTATTTTGACGGTGAGCCGGCAATGATGACGTCATAATGGTCACGCACTCAGTGCCATTTTCACACCTAAAATCACACTTCAGTAGTAGTATATGTTATACCTGAAACAGGATGTTATGTAATAAATTGCCGTGATGTCAGAAGGTGAAAACAGAATTTCCTCCTCCGTACTGGTGGGCTTTTTGTACGCATACTGTGTAACTACACTCACATACACGAGCATGACTGAAAACCAATTTTAATGAGTAGAAAATTGGAAGTATTACTTCCTTTCTGACAGTAGTTGAGTTATAAGCAAATTATTCGACAATATCTTAATACCGGCATGTGTCTTGTTAAAATCTTGCAAAATTTAAGCTAAAACAGACACGCTTCAGTGAAGCTATGAATTAGGCAATTAAAGATGTGCCTCTTGTTTATCAACTAGAGCTCACTTATAGGCGGTACATATTTCATATGAGCATTGTATTCGTCATCCAATGCACGATCCAATAAGATCATGATCAGGTTTATGGAACTTTTTTTCTTGTTATTTTCAAAGCGTATCTTTTTCAGATAACAAAGTATATAAAAAAAAACGCTAAAGTCCAAGTTATTACATTGGGATTAATTTAATATTGACTTATGCCCTACTGATGTCAAACCTCAGAAGAGTACAAGCTTAAGTATGGAGAAGCTCGCCTCTTACGATCACGCAATGGGGACAAAGAGTACCATTCTTACGCCCTAGAGAGTCGTTAGAAAGAAAGTGAGGCATTATCAAGGGAGAGACGTTAGAAAGAAAGTGAGGCACTATCAAGGAGGAGACGTTAGGAAGAAAGTGAGGCATTATCAAGGGAGAGACGTTAGGGAGAAAGTGAGGCATTATCAAGGGAGATAGAAAGAAAGCGAGGCATTATCAAGGGTGAGACGTTAGGGAGAAAGTGAGGCATTATCAAGGGTGAGACGTTAGGAAGAAAGTGAGGCATTATCAAGGGAGAGACGTTAGAAAGAAAGTGGGGCATTATCAAGGGAGAGACGTTAGAAAGAAAGTGAGGCATTATCAAGGGAGAGACGTTAGAAAGAAAGTTAGGCATAATCAAGGGAGAGACGTTAGAAAGAAAGTGAGGCACTATCAAGGAGGAGACATTAGGAAGAAAGTGAGGCATTATCAAGGGAGAGACGTTAGAAAGAAAGTGGGGCATTATCAAGGGAGAGACGTTAGGAATAAAATGAGACATTATCAAGGGAGAGATCTACGATAGGAAGAAAGTGAGGCATTATTAATGGTGAGACGTTAGGATGAAAGAGTAGTTTAGAACATAAAACACTTGTTAGTGGCATTAGTGCCAAATGAATTACACTCTACCACACAGATGATACTGAGAGACTGAATTAAGGCGATATTCACTTTTTGCGCAAACTATGGTCTTAAGGTCCATGAAATATCTTGTACACTAGCTACATTTCAAAAGTGGTCAAGTGCTCGCGTCAACGTTTCCGTTTTCAAACTGGAACTGATCTAAATTAACAAAATCAGTGATTTTTTGGGACGACCAGATTAGAGATGTTCTTCACACGGGGAAGAATCTTGTCTCTTGAAGTTGTCGCGACATTTTTTAGTATATTGGCTTTAGCATCATTGCGAGATAGTCTTTGCTCGAGACGGGATCGTATTTATTGGATTTGTCGAGACAATCAATCATCACTTCCTCATCTGGCAGAATAAAGAATGCTGTGGATTGACGAAATTCTCTCCTTTTCGTCTCGTCATCTGGAATTAACACTCGATGTTTCTGTAACATTCAATATATTTTCGAAATAATGAGAGAGTTTAATGGTGTGGTAAGTAGATAACATGTTTTTAGTTTTTCTTCTATGTTCCTTGGCGTTAAGTTAATATATGCTAAAAGTAATTAACTTGTTTTGCTGTTTGGATCTTCAAACGAGACAAGCATAACATATCGGACATGCTACTTATCTGTTGTGAAAAGTCACGTATATGTTTTAATTTCAAGTTACTGAAATAAGACTTGTGTCAATAAAATGCACATTTTCATTATTCACTAAGATGATATGTGATTATCAGAAATGCATGGTATGATCACTGTACTGTTGGTATAGTATGGATATGAAGTATAAAATGGTCAGAACTTACTGTGGCCATTAGTGTGTCAGAAGTCCATCTCTGCATTAGGTCCCCAATATTGATGAGCACTGTGTCGGGAATAGGGACAACTGGAACGTACTCACCCTGAAGAGTTCTGATCTGGAGATAGCATGTTAACCTGATAACGGCGTTTTCAAAGGAATCCAATTTTTAAAAAAGTTGAATTTGGAAAAAATAGATTACGTATATATAATTGAACATAATGAAAGAAAATCTGATTGAAGTTTATCTTTATAAAAATTTTGCAATAGGTCTGATTGCACTGATTTAAGTGGGAATAAAAATCGTGCAATACCAACAGGAGCCTTATAGTGATTAAATATTGTTGTTAAGAAGCGATAATTCTTTCTCCACGACAAAGTTTCATGAATAATTATAACAGACATTGTTGAAATCTTACCTCTAGACCACCTACACCATCCTGATAAAGAAGGGTTAAGGAGCCATAGTCAGAGTGTTCTCCAAACCGTGCCTGTTTTGGTTTAACCTCTGTAAATTCAAAAGAATATCCTGTGGTAGATTAATTAAAAAATTTCGCAATAGAAAACTTAAGGATATTTAAGCCTTAAAGCAAGATATTTCTATATATACCAATACATGGGAAATAATACGATATTTAATAAAGACGTGCTTTGTTCTAACATGACCTTTTATCTAACGGTATGACGGGTAATTTATAATTACCTTCACCTACCAGTATAGAGGGTCATCTAACATGACTTTTTATTGAACGGTATGACGGGTAATTCATAATTACCTTCACCTACCGGTATAGGGGGTCATCTAACATGACCTTTTATCTAACGGTATGACGGGTAATTTATAATTACCCTTTACCTACCAGTATAGGTCGGATATTTAACATGGACTTATCTTCTATTTAACAATATTGTTGGGTAATTTAATCTGGGACTTCAACTTATCTTTATGTAACAGTAATGGTGTGTAACTAAACTCGGACCCTCAACTTACCTCTATCTAGCGGTTTCGGTGAGTTATTCAACGCGGATTCCCCTACTTACCCTTATCTAACGTTATTGGTGGGTAAAAGTTGTTCCTCATAAGTGTGCTATTTCCCTTTTTGCTTATCAGTTTGTGACAATTTCTGAGGAATCGTTTATCCTGCAAGAAGAAATACTATTGTTAACCAATAAAGTGCTATTTATGTTAATATTGCGGTATATTATGTAAGACGCACCCATTTTGATGACTTCGTGTTTAATTTCTCAGTAAAAATACTGCTAATCGAATGTTGAAAAGTATTCAGTTTAGTAATATTTCCAAGAAATTTACACGTCTGTTATGAAGTTTTAGATCAAGTTATAACAGACTACATTTCATATTGTTTTTTACTCACATCTAACTTTAATCCAATTGACATCAGGTCCAGTATCCTTAAAGCCAGCTTATGAGATTGCGTGTACACCTCTTTCACGCTTGATTCAAAGTTCTCAACGTCAGGCCACAGCTATATTAAAAATGAATAAAACGGAATTTGAAATATTTGTTTTCATGAATTTTCTACATACCTTTTATTACTAGTGACGTTTCTTAGTGTTATAATATGATATGGCTCCAATTTATCTACACCTCGTTCGGTCATTAAAGAAAAAAAATGTAAACACTCGTCTGTCGATGTTAAACCGATAGCTGGCAGTTATTTGGTTTTAATTCGTTTTCACACATTTCAGATAAATCATCTTTTTGGTCAATATTGAATTAGTATTTTTTTTATATTGGTGAGAGTCTGCTACAGTCACTGAGTTTGGGAAATCAGGCCGTGAATATGTAATGTCACATGGTTTAAACAAAAGGCGGCATTGTCATTTTTTCTTGAAATGATTAAGTTTTGTATCACTGAGGCAGTATATATGAAATAAAGGTTCACTGAAACCACAGACTGTACTTTCCTTTAATTAGTTTATCTTGTTACACGCTGTATGACATCAACGTTTAACCGGGTTAAGCTGGCGACAGTTGTTTTGTCGCCCGAAAAGCAAAACTTAACCGCACGTATTAGGTTATTTTGTGACACACGGAAGAACAAGTAATTTATGATTGATAAAATTTAGAATGTAAGACTCTGTATTCAAAATTCTTGCAAAATCCGTATATAACATGTTCCTTTCACATTTAATTCGCAAATCGCAAATCATACTGACCGTAACGTTTTCTGCTGGCATGGTGTTAAATCCTTCCTTATTGTTCTATATGATAATACCCACAACAACTCGGAGCCTATTCTATATGATAATACCCACAACAACTCGGAGAGTATTCTATATGATAATACCCACAACAACTCGGAGCATATTCTATATGATAATACCCACAACAACTCGGAGCCTATTCTATATGATAATACTCACAACAACTCGGAACATATTCTATATGATAATACCCACAACTCGGAGTTTATTCTACAAGATTATACCCACAACAACTCGGAGCCTATTCTATACGATAATACCCACAACAACTCGGAGTGTATTCTATATGATAATACCCACAACAACTCGGAGCCTATTCTATATGATAATACCCACAACAACTCGGAGTGTATTCTATATGATAATACCCACAACAACTCGGAGTGTATTCTATATGATAATACCCACAACAACTCGGAGCCTATTCTATACGATAATACCCACAACAACTCGGAGCCTATTCTATATGATAATACCCACAACAACTCGGAGCCTATTCTATATGATAATACCCACAACAACTCGGAGCCTATTCTATACGATAATACCCACAACAACTCGGAGTGTATTCTATATGATAATACCCACAACAACTCGGAGTGTATTCTATATGATAATACCCACAACAACTCGGAGCCTATTCTATATGATAATACCCACAACAACTCGGAGCCTATTCTATATGATAATACCCACAACAACTCGGAGCCTATTCTATATGATAATACCCACAACAACTCTATATGATAATACCCACAACAACTCGGAGCCTATTCTATATGATAATACCCACAACAACTCGGAGCCTATTCTATATGATAATACCCACAACAACTCGGAGTGTATTCTATATGATAATACCCACAACAACTCGGAGCCTATTCTATATGATAATACCCACAACAACTCGGAGTGTATTCTATATGATAATACCCACAACAACTCGGAGCCTATTCTATATGATAATACCCACAACAACTCGGAGCCTATTCTATATGATAATACCCACAACAACTCGGAGCCTATTCTATATGATAATATATGATAATACCCACAACAACTCGGAGTGTATTCTATATGATAATACCCACAACTCGGAGTTTATTCTACCCACAACAACTCGGAGTGTATTCTATATGATAATACCCACAACAACTCGGAGTGTATTCTATATGATAATACCCACAACAACTCGGAGCCTATTCTATATGATAATACCCACAACAACTCGGAGTGTATTCTATATGATAATACCCACAACAACTCGGAGCCTATTCTATATGATAATACCCACAACAACTCGGAGCCTATTCTATATGATAATACCCACAACAACTCGGAGCCTATTCTATACGATAATACCCACAACAACTCGGAGCATATTCTAAACGATAATACCCACAACAACTCGGAGCCTATTCTATATGATAATACCCACAACAACTCGGAGCCTATTCTATATGATAATACCCACAACAACTCGGAGCCTATTCTATATGATAATACCCACAACAACTCGGAGCCTATTCTATATGATAATACCCACAACAACTCGGAGCCTATTCTATATGATAATACCCACAACAACTCGGAGTGTATTCTATATGATAATACCCACAACAACTCGGAGCCTATTCTATATGATAATACCCTATTCTATATGATAATACCCACAACAACTCGGCTATGGTTTTAAGTTTCTTATTATTATACCTTGAATTGCCAACGATATGGTTAAAACTGAACAATATAACAATATTAAATGTTACTGTTTTAACAACTCGGAGTACCTATTATTCTATATGATAATACCCACAACAACTCGGAGTGTATTCTATATGATAATACCCACAACAAGTACCAGGGATTGGGGAATGCCATGATTTTTTATATAGCAAAATCCGACGTCCCTCAATGCTCCACATATGGCGTCGGCTACAGAACGGACAGTTTCTGTGTCCACCTCGTCCTCGTTTACCACGTCAAGTCCGTACCCTGTCATGTCCACAACAGGGACTTCAGTCGTGTTTGCCATGACAACAGGAGAAATTCTGTTGGGTATTATTTGGTAACTTTATGTAAATCATGGCATACGTCAGTGTGAACACATTTGGACAAATACAAAGAGAGAATATAAATTAGTAAAACACGTTGGTAAAACAAACATAAAAAAATCCCCGAGCTGTCACATCCTGAATGTATTATATGTGTATGTAATATTTTTGATACAAAATAAAAGGCGTCACATAGCATGAATTGAAACTGACCAACTTTTTGTGCAGTTGATGTGATAAATACAAATCTTACGTACATGAAACCAGTTATGTATATAATCCTTTTTCAAAAGCTCTGAGACATGAAAATGACTCGCTTTAATTTCGGAGTTACTTTCATGAAACTAGTTATATGTATAATTATATGTTCTAAATGCTTTATAAAACATATCAGCATTAATATGTATTTGATCTTCGACTGAAACTGGAGTTAACAGGAGAAGAAGCCGATTTATTGTTCTGTATCAAATTTGTAATTTCAGCATTCTGTTGAAACCTGGATGTTCAGTGATAAAATATTTTCTAAGGTGACTATAGTTATTGTGGTTTTTACAAAAAAACGTATTGTTTCTCAGACGTTTTCCTTAATGATTTAATAATTATTTTATTGCAGAAAGTTCGTACAATAGGATTGGACACAAGTTTTACCAACTTATAAAGCCCTCTCCATTACATAGTTTATACAACAATACTTAAACAACAAGCAATGTAACAATATATATATAATAATAATTTTTGATTGAAACATAAGGGAAGGACTGAAGAGAAGGAAGGAGTGTAGGTAAGGAGGGAAGAAAGGGGTATATAGTACAAAGAAAAAAAATGTGGGGATAACTAGCCAAATCGTTCAGATGAATAAATAAATTTTTGAACAGCTCTAGCTAAAAGCGAGTTTTCAGCTGAACTTAGCCTTACGTCTCCATTTAAAATAACGTTTATCGAAATATCACCCGGATACCACGTTTTCCTTATTAACGTAGTTTTCAAAATTTTGTGATTTTATTTTATACTCGAAAATATATCAACATACACCCCCCTTAAAAACAAGCAACATTTACATTAGCTGTCCGTGTTTTGTTGTATCAACACTGCAGGTCCTTAGTGTTCTCATGACAATACATATCGGATGAGAGTCTCCAATTTGATGTCTCTGATGATTGTATAGTCAGGTCACACTGAAGAGGTTGGCGTTAGTAAAACACGTTAGATGCCGGAAGTCATTTGTACTTGAGGTGTTCAGATATTGACACCTGGTGTCATGTACGGTTCTCGATTTGATGGATGTGTTGAGTTCACATTTGCATTTGTACGCGTATGTTTAGGCAAACTATCTCTGTAGTGTGCAGTAAGTGTAATGAAGTCTGCTTATATTGTAATCATATCTTTACTGGATGTCATCGTGCTTAGCACTCTATAACTGAACCAATGTCCACAAATTGCTCTGCTATCCTTTGTGCTAATTAAACAACAAGCACACGTATAGTTGAAAAAGACCATTATTAGAATGCCAATTGTATAAATATATATATATATATGTGTGTGTGTGTGTATCCTTTTGTTAACAATTACAATAAAATGAAAAAAAAAGAGTGAGGGTTACTTTATAAAAAAAACCCACCAAAAACTTGAATACAACGTTAAAGACATCTTTGTAACCTTTCAATTTAGTATTTAATGTAATATAATATACAGTAGGGTCTAATAATGCTTTCAATGACGATATTTTCAATGGAGTCTAATTACATTTATTTTTATTCAGTTGGCATTCATGCTTCCCATGAACGCAAACTGAAAGCTGGTCTATGCTAAAATGGCTCATAAATGACTTTATGATAACAGTTTTGAATGCTAATTGCTTCTTAGAAAATCTTATTATAATTCTTTGTTAAAATCATTTCATGAAAATGAAAGATATGCGACGAAGTTTTATTGAGAATTGTCAAAATTTGTTCAGACACTTAAATTTACATCAATAATTACTGAGAATGTTGTCATCTTTATTTGGTAGTGTTGCATTAATACAGATCTGACGACTAAATATTCATAATTTTATTAAGAAAAGGTCATCAATTATATACAGGAGTGGATATAGCTTGAAATTATCTTTAAGGGGAATATTTTGCAACATATACAGTCTATCATTATTTAGAAAAATATTTTATGAATATTAGGATTTTAAATCAGGTTATTACCTACCTTCAGCTTTACCAAATTTTCAGCATGCAACAAAGAACTAGACAGATGAGTTTTACCACCGAATCACGACATCAAATTCTACTTCTGCGTTTCTTTATCCTTTATCTATATATGCACTATTTCGAGAGCAAAGGAGTAAACCAGCGACCCCTGGTGTTACCTGTATGTGATATAGTTGTCTCACCCCAAAACAGGTATATGTAGTCGATTAGTATTGCGTAGTCTTTGCAAGCTGTACCCTGGTTCTTTCAGTTGGGAGAGGATCTTTCACATTACATGCGTCATTCTCTTTTATTCTAGTGCAATGAAAGCTCAATTGCTGTACAATAGATACCAGAATTGAAAAATGCCAGTTCTTTAAGACATGATTTGCTCACGAATGCATCGGAAGACTTGACATCGATACTATAATACAATAAAAACAAGACGCGACAACATAGAACAGACGAATCTGGCGATATTGATGATAACTAAAATTGGCCACTAAGCATTTGCGCACACTGAAATGTTGAGCGGTGGTACTGTAATGGACACACAAGTAAGTCACAATTGTGTCAGTTGCGTCACTGTTGTGCTGTGCCAAATTCCTTTTACCGTGTTTTCCATTTAAATATAGTCACAGGAACAATGCTAAATAGAGTAATGCTTGAAATATTTAAGTATAACTTTAACTTACGTATGGACCAAGCTTGTTTTATTGTACGAGATACGGATTGAAATGTCATGTAAAGCTTGCATGATGTTAGCATTTACTATCTGAAAATACTTCTAACGAGTTTTATATGTCAACTTGTCATCATTACCCGGATTACTTTTAAATATAAAGATATGGATAAGGACAAGAAGAGGATATCATTTTAATAATTGTGACTATTTATTTTGTACAGGGCGAGGTAAAGGAACTTTTTGTGAGAACGAATGTGATAAGAAATTGTATGAGAGTGATCGGGTGATCTTGTGAGAAAGGTAAAGAAGGGAGCAGATAAAGACATTCCTGTCTGACAACCTTGAAACCTAGACCTGTTTGAACAAGCACTTGCTAAGAGGGTAACTCCACGAATTAAGTTTGTATATATACTCAACAAAAAAAGAAAGGTTAACATGTTTCCTTGGCGAATACCTGTAAATGAGTGAAAACAAAATGACGTTTGTACAATATTAGAAAATGGCAATGTTTTACATTACAAAATCCAAGGGGGTTACCAAAATCATTCAAGCGTGAAAGTCTGTATTAGCAAAAGAGCTGCACGAGGTTTTCTGCGACTAACTTGTATCTTCGCTTGAATTTCATAAACATTCAAACTGACAACTGTTCCTTAGATCCTTAGGACTTAGAAATCACCGAATCTTGCTATCTATCAACTTTATCATTACGCCCCGGCTGTCACAAGTACAGCGAGAAAGGGCTGTAGGCATGATCCAGGCTGGGGAGTTACACGGCATTTTTTTGCAGTGTTAAGACAATTTGCCAGTTGGTAAGTCGTTTAAACCAAACTGGGTCAACATCCGATCGTCCCCGAAGCGGCCGACCCCGTAAAACGACCGCCAGGGATGACCGTCGTATACGATTGATACACTTGCGCAATCGATTCGTAACCGCAGTAGAAAATGTTTGACGGGAAATTTTGCCGGAGAACCAAAATTTTTTATTGATCATGTCTATGTTACTGCGAACTCTTCCATTTGTTAAACATACTTCAACCATCTAGTTAAGTATTGCGGTTGTTGATGTTACGCCGAGGACAATATGTTTTTTTCAATGACAAAAACTTTTCGTTACATCAATAACCATTTCTAACAGTCACGTCGCTTTTCGCCTCTAACGAATACGTTTTTACCCATCGTGCTACGCTAATACCGTTAAGAAGTACCCCAAGCTAGCATTGTTAAATGAAAGTTAAAAGTTCAGAACAGGTCTATACGCATTTCGGGATTCATATTTCCACAAATCAAAATCTGGACAGGCGTCAGAGACGTACAGGGTGGGTTGCTAACCTGTAGTGATGCTAGTGTGCACCGTAACATCGTAGCGAATGCAGGAAAAATCCTCCATCCACTCTCGACCAATCAAAACAGCCTTATTGAAATAATGGATAACGTCTCACAGAGAAGAATTATATCCATGACGAGTCAAGAGATTTCAGGTACTGATATAAAGGATGAACCGTCTATTATGGAGAAATGATATGTCAAAGAGCTATTCCAGAGTTTATTAATTAGAAGTACTCCTTACCGTGAGAACAAATAAGCTTGAAATAGAAGAAACAAGGGTGAAATACGAACAAAAGAAAGATTTACACGAAGAATTCTGAAAAGATACAAAAAGACCGTGTGTTCTGAAAAAGTCTTGTGCATCATCGACGCCATTCACTATGTTGATTCTGGTCAATACAAGTAAGTAATGTAAAGAAGAACAAGCTTCAACGGAACAGCCGGGTATACTAATGAGCATCAAACACGTCCATCAATTTATACAATGAGATATAATGTTTTATGGTATATCCATATTTTCCGTCAACCTGCATCACTCGAAACACCGTGTTGAGTTTATCTATTAGCTGGCAAGTCTTTCTTTATTGGCCTCGTTGTAAGAAAGGGTTGAGATAAGCGGCTAGTGAAGAAGAGTCTGTAGAGCCCTTAATTTCCGATTTTGCTGGGTATAAACCAAATATATGGCTTTTCCAAATAAACAAAAACACAATCAGTATACCTAAAAGTGACACTTAAGGACTTCACAGATTCTTAGTTACCTGTTGTACAAAGATCTTTGATTAATTATAGAAGT